GTGATTAAGAGAATCAGATGAAAGACAGAAAATCAGTTCTAACTCAGATATTCTTTCCTACAAACAGAAACATTGTCCATTGTTGCTGTGGAACTAGAACTAAGGGATTTCTTAAACGTCCTCCCAGAAGATGGCACGGCAGCATTTTTCTTGCCATATCTTCTCTACTGCAGTCGAAAGAAATCATTGACTTGAAGGTATCATTTGAAAAATACCACAGTGGCTTATGAGACTGAATTTTTGAAAATTGAATGCCAGATAAAAAACACAAATCAAGCATTTTTATATTGAATATGTACATATATTGCAAGTGCTTTCAGGCTGCATACCATAGTGGTATTATTAGCTTCATAATTTATGACCTGAATCCATTTCATTGTCCAGAATATAAAAAAGCTGCAAGACATAAGAATTTCCTCAAAGAAGGCGTGTATTTTTAAAGGTAGAGACTGACTTTTATACCAGGGAACATCATTCACTGTTTCTGGAGACACGACAATCTTTATCATCCCGAGGACACAAACATTTTGTAAGTATGCTCAAAAGACTATCACTCCAAGTGGCCTAGAATTTAACTATCTTGATTTTTTTCCAGATTTCTCTATTGGGTCACTTTTTTAAAAACTAATATTCTTTGAGAAAGATGTTAATGTGTCCCCACAGTATAAGATTTCAAACTTTATTTTCATGTTACTTTTAAAGGTAACTGCCGTGTTAGTCTCTGTATCAAATGAGATAGACATTTACAAAGCTAACTTTCTTCTTGTCTGGCTATTAATGTGATTTGTTGAATGCATGTTTTTCAGCCAAAGCCCTGTTCCTAGTTTTTGTTGATGTGTACTCTTGCTCTTAGCTAGAGTTTATGTGAAAATAAAGAAGTATAAAGAACTATGTCTTCTTTTTTAGCCTCTTATTAAATGATTTTGAGTCCAAGTTCAGCTCACTGACGGTGTGCTTTGACTTTGGTTAAGGCTGGGCAAAATGTACTCACCTGGTGTTTTCACAACCATATTTTGAAAACTTATCTCCTAATGGCAACTCTCATCTTTACCAGGATTTAATTTATAGATTTGTTTCATAACTCTGCCTCTCTCCAGTTTCAGATTAACATCCTTTTGACCATGTCTTCAAGGGTTCATAAAACTCAGATTGACATCATTTTATTTTATTTTATTTTATTTTTTATTTAAAGATTTTTTCAACTTAAACTTTTGTTTTTGAAATTTTATTATTAATATTTTATCTTATTTTAGTGCTATTTTTTATTTTACTTCCTCTACACCTGTGCCCCCATGTCCACTGGTTCATTAGGAATAATGTCAGCAGCATGCTAGAGGGACTGACAGGAAGTCAAAGTTGGGAAACACTTCATTGAATCTCAGTAGTGATCCTTTGAGGACTGTCCAGGGCAACATCTGGTCATAGATTTTTTTCTTAAATACAGTTTTGTAAGGCCATAACAGTGGTGATATGAACGGCCTATATTGATCAACTGTATTACCAAGTGTACTAGAGTCAGTCATGTGTCACAGTACAGCCTGTTGATCCTTTCATATGAAACAGTATAACACAGTTTTCCCCACAAATGCACAAAAGTGTATATTTCAGTCTTTTTTTTAATGCTTATCACCATTCCAACGTAAGCATTCTGTTAAACACTTTCACATATATTGTTATGAATCATTGTTTTTTCTTTTTTTTCACTTATCACCAATTTATTTCTTTCAGCCAGACTTGGTCTCTATAGAAAAGAAATTTTAAGACCATTATTAAAAATAGTATATATCATATGGTTAAAAACATTGATACATGATGCTTAGATTAGAAATGTATTCTAATTTTTTGCAGTTATTTTGTTTAATTATTCTTGATTCATTTATATTCTGCTCTTTCTATGTTAAAAGACATCTCTCATTCTAGTACTGATTTACTTAAAAAAAATTAACTTTCCTCCCCACAAGATCCTTATGAATTACAAGGGGAAAAATAGTAACTTTACAGTGGAGAAACCTGCCAGACACCTCCTTAACCAGGTGCTCAAAATGAACATGACCAGGAAGGGAACAAATCAACATCTTGTGCCTCTTGACAGGTATGCTGAGAAAAACACAATATCCCTTCTGTGAGAATCTCACCCAGAAATGCATAACCTAAATCTGATCGTGAGGAAACCCAGTTTGGGTCTGTTTGATCATTAGACAAACCCAAGTTGTAGGACATTCTGCAAAGTGACTGCCAACTGCCCTATATTCTTTAAAAATGTCAAAGTTGTAAAAGACAAAGACCAAGGAACTGCTCCAGACTAAGGAGACTTAAGAAGACATGTCAGCTGAACACAGTATATGAGCTGGCTTTTCTATTTTTATAAAGAACATGATTAGAATAGTTGGTGAAATGTGAACAGGATCTGTGGTATTGAATCATTTTTAATTTCCTAATTTTGATATATTATGTTTATTATAAGAATATTCTTGTTTTTAGGAAATATGAGTATACATATATTTATAATACCTGTAGTCTGTGTGTGTAGAGAGAGAGGGAGATAGAAAAGATGAGAAAGCAAATGATGCTGTGCAGAATGTTCACATTTGAGGAATCTGGGTAAAAGGTATACAGGAATTTTTTTGTACTGATCTTGCAGCTTTTCAATGAGTCTGAAGTTGTATCTAAATTTTTTTTTAAAATTCCTTTTCATTGAATTAATATGTGGTTAGATATTTACCAAGCAAGTATTGGATTGGATTTGGGCACCTACTGGAAATACAGAATATACACTCCCTGCCTATGAGGAACTTCAGAGCTAAGCAGGCTGTCATCCTGCAGACGGCTCCCAAAGGTTATCTGACTGTCGTGGAAGGGTCAGTCTAAAAAAAGTACCTTTTATATTTGTCAGAGGAGGCCTTCCTTATGCTTCCTCTGCTAGAGGAAGTGAGGCATACCATTAAGTATGACAGGATATCCACAATTCTTTTCTAATAATTTTTTTTTCTTTGTGGAGGAAATTGTCTGTCTCCTGGTGCATAATATTGAAAGATTTCACCATAACTTGATTTTCTCTCTTGTCCATATCTTGGTAGGTGGAAATGTTTCTAAGATTTAGAATTAAAGTAGACTTGGCCAAAGATTTATCAAACTTTCATTCCAGGGTAATTCAGACTGGTACATGTGGCTCCCCGATTTTTCTGTGAAATATTCAGACTATCTTTTTGGCTCATTACTGCCTCTTTCAATCCCATACAGTACCTTTTCCCTTTGTAAAAGCCAAGTTTGTCTTTAACCTTTTTCCAACGTGTGTTGTCCCTTCACATTTGCTATTTGTTCTGCAGTTTTTAGTATGGCTTTTAGAACAGTCTACCCCTTTTTTTAGCCAAGCAAGTGATCATCTCCCTCTTCTCCTTCCAGGCTTATCATACAAAGGGGATCTCTTCACTGCCTCTGTGTGTGGGCTCAGCCTGTAGCAGCATCCTCGGAATGCCAGGCATTTGTACACACAAATCTCCAGAAGGCCTTCCTCAGAGTTCCCTCACTCTGGGTTATTTCTCTGAGCAGGACCATTGTTTTGTGTGGTCTCCATTTGTGCTAAAGTTCTTTGAATTCTGCTTAAAGTTTTCTTTCTCACCTTTGGCTCTTCACCTTGTTTAGCACTTCCTGGCTTTAGAGCCAGAGGTTTATCTGTCTGAGTCTTTGGCATTCTGGTGCTCTCAGTACCACTCTGTGTAATAAAGGGTCTCAATGGAAATCGTTTTTCATGTTAGGAGGCCTTTGTGTAAGACTGAGGAGCAGAAATTAAACTTTTCGTTGGCACCCATGGTTGCTCTTCAGTGATTTTTAATTTTTGAAATATGTTGACTTCTATATTTTCTTCCATTTATATGTCCCCTTTTATGCCAGTTTTGAGGAGGAAACATAAGGAGTTTCCCCTCATTGGATTTGCCATTGCCAATTCCAACAGTTCTGAACTCAGAAGACCCAGGAAACACTGAAGCTAGCAGCTGCTATAGCAGGAATTTTACTCTTCATACAACACGTTTTGTCAGTGTTCAGTGTGCACCCATACAGGGGCTGTTTGTTTTTTTGTGTTTTCACTGTGTGCGTGCAGGTGCATGTGCCTGCAGAAGAGGGAGTGTTCTTGTGGGGGTGGGCAGAGCAGGGAGTTTAGGGTCTATATTTTCCCTGGATCTTTGCTATGGTCTAAACGTTTGTGTGCCCCCAGATTTCTTGTGTTGAAAACCTGATGCCCAAGGTGATAGAGTTAGGTGGTGGGGCCTTTGGGAAATGATTTGGTCAGGAGGGTGGAGCCCTCATGAATGGGATTAGTGTCCTTATAAAGGAGGCCCAAGAACTAGCCTGTCCTTCTGCCACGTGTAGATGTAATAAGTCTGCAACATGGAGAAGGACCCTCAGCCTACCATATTGGCACCCCGACCTCAGGTTAACAGTCTCCAGAGCTGTGAAAATGAGTCTTTTTCTTCATAAACTACCCAGTCTGGTATTTTGTTACAGCAGCCCAAATGGACTGAGACAATCATTGGCAAATAATCAGTAATGCTTCCCCTCCCCCTAGAAGCACAGAAACACACAGTTTTGCCTGTTTGACTATTTGAAATTATATTGGATTATTTAGGGTTTGGGGAGCCTTTCTCCTGTACTAAATACTACCTAGAAAAAACAGTAACACTTTCTATTAAGAAAGAGAGTAAATTTTAAAAGTGACTTGTTAAGTCACAACTACTCTCTTACACGGATCAGTTTTAAGGATGTTAATTAACAATGCATCAAATTGGTGTCAGTTTGCACTATTGGTGCTGCGTCAGTACCAGCTGTCAGAACAGAAGCAGAGTCCCGCACCATTTAGCAGTGAAAGAAAATTCCTGCTTGGAGGTAAAGAAGGAAGAAGTCAGAGCAGCAAATTCACAAGTGAGAGAAGTCTATAGGCAAAGTAGCGCACCTTAATTATGTTCGTGATACATGCCTTCTGAAATTACTAACTGGATATTTACCTGCATTTGGTAGAACGGTGTAAGTAGTTTCCATTCCAGCGTGAATGTGGTCAGTCACATGGCAGTGGAGTAACCAGGTTCCAGGTGTTCTTGGAGACATTTCTAAGGTTTGGTATGTCCCAGGGAAAACGTCAAAGACGTCAGAACTATAGACGCCCCTGTGCTTAATTAGAAAAATGACAAATATTATATAATGTTTATTATGTGTGAGAGTTCATTCAAATAATCTTTCATTGGCCAGCTCAGGGATATTAGAAAAATGGATAAACCCATTAAGAAAGAGAGCAGGGTAGAGAGAGAGACCCTCCACACTTCTACATCTAATACAATGAGATGTGTGGTCTTTGCTAAACCCTTGGCACTATGGGCCATTAAGGATGCATGAGGGAAAGATAGGATGAAAATGAATTCATCAATCAGGAACACCTGTTATCTCTTTCAATTTGACTCTGGTTTTCCTTTTTATCAGCACTTGAGTCACACAAGGGAATTTAGCTGTGGCCCCATTTCTTGCTGAGCCCATCCTAGATAAGCTTGTCTGTGAACTTGAGGGCCGGTAGGCAATGAAGAGAGCAGAAAAAGAGGCTGATGGAGAAGCCAAAGCCAGGGGCAGTTCAGGTAGAGTCCCAACTAGATGGAACACTTGGGAGATTTTTCTACAGGGATGGCGTTGAAAGTCTGCTAAGAAGTAAACCAAAACACAGGTCATAAAATAGTCTTTTCTGCAATGTGCTTTGTGGTAGCGTCTGAATTTTCTACATTAACTCAAAGGATAAGAAAAAAGCATTTCCAAGAGGGCTACTGATTCCTGCTGAAATCAGCACTGCGTGAGCAGTTGAAGTATGATTGAAATCTCGGGACCAATCAGTTGCTTGACACCAAACTGATGATCTTGTTCTCTTCAGGCCATTTAAGATTCAGAACTTAGAACTGGCAAAGGTTATAATAAAGTCTGGTCTCTGTACTCTGACCCCTCATTACATGAACACTCCTGCTCTCTTTGCTGACGATTCCATTCCAATACTTTGCCCAAGAGTATGTGGGCAGAACTCCCGGAAAGCCCAGTAAAAACTATAAATCCAAGGAAGAGCCCAGCGTGTAGCAAAGGATAGTGACGGCAGTTGGAGTTGCTGTGTGCCACACTCTTTGGAAATAGTTCTCTTGAAACCTTAAGCGTTTCCTAAGTCTCCCTGAGGAAATGTTCTCTTCATTTGTGTTAAAACATTTTCAAATAGAGCAGGGATAACAATGGTGGGTGGCCCTTACCTGGTATTGGAAGCTGTGGCCATGGAAATGTACTGAGTGCAAGTCTATTTCGTTGCCCATTCCCATCAGATACCAGTTGACTTCATCTCCCACGTGCATTGTGAGGCCTTGCAGGTTCCCAAACATTCTTCCATTAATAGCTGGGGGAAAACATGATATTTTTTTATTACCTCAGGGATATTTTAAACCAACAGCTATTTCACAGGAAATACGATGATTAGGTTAGTGAATGGGATCTTTTTGAGATAATAGAACTTATTTCACTACAGATAACGGGAAATGGACACTTTAAGGTCAATAATATTACACTGCTTGTCTAGTCACTTAGCACCAAAAATCTTATTCCCAACTTTGAGTTTATTTAAAAGGGAATGAGACTTTGGCATTGGGAGAGAAGTTAATAGATGGTTTTAAACATAGTCCCCTTTTTGCTTTGAATAGAATTCTACCTCACATGCAAAGTCTGGCAGGATTGGTTTATTATAAAATGAAACAAAGGGGTAGTCTCCAAAGTGATTGTATTTGAAAGAAGAAAAGGGAAAAATAGGTTTTAGAATAATGTATCATACCATGCATTTTATTGCTTTCTATGAATTCATCATTGGCTTTGTCTACTTTCTCAGGGTGGTCAGAATATGTTTTGATGTTGTCATCTAAGTACCAAGATTCATTCTCATCAAAAACAAGAAACAGAAGGGAAAATTCCGGTTTCTTTATGGGATTGAATACTTTCAAGTAAGATTTCCGACAAACAATCAGTGGACCAATTAATCCACTGTAGAGATCCTGAAAACAAGCAAAAACTTAGTCATCATTGTGATATGGGTCAGGATTTCAGAGAACTGGGACCTAACCACCTATGACCTCAGGAATTTTGGAGGGACTGGTTTAGGTAGCAGACTTTTACTCAGTGTGGTTCTGTCAAGCCAGTAACTTTCCACTTGAAGTAGTTAAATTGGAACAATGGTGAATAGTAGGTAAGTTGTGTGGGTGATGCTGAAGTAACAGAAATGTGTGCAGAAGCCAAATATTGGCTCAGCTAATGAGCAGCAGTTGAGAAGAACTGCAAACAAACAGTGCTGGTTTGCCTATTCCATAAGCCAGGTGCTGTGCCTGTCACTAAAAAATCCAGAGATGGATGAAACAAAGCCCTTGCCCTCCAGGAACTCAGTCTAGTAGGGAAGACAGAGGATTAGAAGAAATGAACCGCTTGCAACAATGGCGGTACGTCAAGTGCTAATGAACACAAGGGGAAGACCACGATGGACTTAAATCTACGAGGAGTTTGATTTGGCTGGGCATCAGTAATGGCAGATTAGACCTTGAAGGGCCTTTGAGCTGTATTATACTTAGGAATTTTTAGATTTTGTCTTGTGAGTCTTAAGTAGCCTTTGAAAAACTGAACATGGAATGGAAGCCTTTCAGACCAGTGATCCTGGTGGTGGAGTGAAGGAAGGCTTGTATGGGAAAGAGACTAGAGACTAGGAGGCCAGGGCAGTAGTTAAGGGAAATTACTAGCATCTGATCTGTGGAGATAAAAGGAATGGACTGAGCTCTGTGTAGATGGGTGAATCACCTGGGTGAGCCAGGGGTAAGAATTAGGTATTTTATATCCAGGGTTCTAGCTTGAACAAATGAATAGGTTTGGTACTTGTGCTATTTATTGCAGTTGGGAATACAGGAGGAGATGGAGGAAGATCTCAGTTTCTGTTATAGAGTTGCTGGGTTCCCATGCCTGTGGGACAAGCTGGTAAGAGATGTGCTTCAGTAGGTGGATATATAGACAGGTCTGGGACTCAGAAGGGAGAATTGGACTAGAGACTGAATTCTACAAGAGTCTTGGTACATGTTCTGATTTATAGTCGTTGAGTGCTTTTTGACACTGAAATATTTAATCAACCAGCAGGCTTTGCTGTGCTGTGATTGACTGCTGAGGTCACCATTTTTATTAGCATTTAATAATAGAGATCTGAAATCATGTACCTCAGTTCTTCGATATCAAAAAGGAAATTAAATACTGTATTGATTAATATTTAATTCTGTGGCACCCATAATCAGCAGTCATAGAGTTGATACATTTAAAACTGTCTCTTTAAACAACCCCCACACCAAAAAAAAAAAAAGAAAAAGAAAAAGAAAAGAAACCAAAGTGAACTGCAGAGCATCTTACTTTCCTGTGATTTTAACATAGAATTGGACCACAGGAAAACTCTAACCTCACCTTCCTTCAATTGTGTGTCTATTTTGGGAATTTGCACAAAACAAATTATTTAAAGTTTACCTTAACCCGATCCACAGTTGAATAGTAAGCCCATGGAATACAAGCAGAATCACCTATTCCAGCTCCAGATCTTTCTGGGATTTTCCATATGTAAGTGCGAATTTCACCTAAATCAATCAAGTGTTAATAGATCTGGTTATATTTGGTATGATTTGATATATGTATATCAAATTGGTATCAAAGCCTTGATAACCAATGACTCAGAAACTTAAAATGTCAAAGTAATTAGTTTTAAAAAGCAGTGGTACTCAAGGTCATTTTCAAGAATTTAGTTTTAAGATCAACAATAAGACACACTTTTGTATCTTCTTTGTCAATTATGAATTAACTAGCTATGCCACACAGGTCACATCACAAAGCCAGAAGGTGGCAATTCCAGTATCACAATTCAAAGAAATTTTGCAACAGATCTTTTCTGAGTTTGAAGTCTGTTTCTCTAATAAACTTTTTTCTTTTCAGGTCTCAAGTGATTTTACCCCAGTGCCAACCATCTTCTCTGTGTCTGTGTATCTGGACTATCCTGCGTAATTCCTTAAACTTCCCTGTGGTCTTCCTTTTCTCCTTTTTTCACCGTTACCCTCTGTGGTTTCACGGTTCCTGGCAAGGAGCCATTAGACGTCTTAATCACTGACCTGTCACAATGACCTCTCTTGCCTGTCCCATTCTGTCATACCGTATACTGTTCTGTCATAACTCTGTCACATTTAGGACACGACCACATCCTGGACCTCACACTTGGAAGGTGAACAGTTGCTCCACCCTCCTCTCTTGCCAAGGCCTTTACCTCCTTCCATTTGCTCTGAGTTCCTCTCCAGCCTGATCTTTGCTGCCGGTCACCTCAGGGCTCCCTGTACAACTGCTCACGAGAACCACGGTCACTCTCCAATCCCATTATGCAGACCTCACCATTACATATTTATGCTATCAGAGTTTCATTAGCTGGAATATGACAAATGTTTACTAGGGAACCAAGCAGGACATGAGGGATCATCTCAGAGGACATGCTAGACGTTTTCCTTTGTCCTCAAGTCCTCTATCTTACCTGCCCCTATGTCCTCAACCTTTTTTGTAAGCAGAACATTTCACTGGGAATGTAAAGCATAGATTCATCATCTGAACTTATTGCCTCTTCGTCTAGACTCTTATTTTCCGAAGCCAAAAAAATAGCATTTTATTCTTTTCTCCATTCCCTGCCCCAAACTACTCTGCTATCAGTGGTCGATGCCCAGAACCTTGGGCTTGTCCTTCACTCCTCCTTCCCTAACATTCTCTAATGCCCAATCTCTCAGCAGATCCTTTAAGCACCACCTTTAAAATAGAACCAGAGTATGACAACTCCCCACTTCAGCTGCTTCCACCCCAGTCCAAGTCTTAACTAGTTTTTTGCCCAGAGTATCGGGGTAGTACCCTAACTGATCCTTGATTCTGCCCTTGTCCCCTACAGTCATTCACACACCAGACAGTACAGTCCTTTAAAAAGTGTTCACTGGATCATCACTCTCCAGCTCAGACGCTCATACGGGATTTTAGAATAAAAGATAAGGTTGTCACCATGGCCTCTAAGGTCCCCTAACTCCTGTAGCTTCTGGCTCCCTGTGCCCCCTGGATCTCATCTTCTCACATCCTGCCCCTGTTTGCTCTACTCTGGCCTCTGGCCTCCATGCCATTCCTCAGACACACCAAGTCCACTTCCATCTCGAGACCTAGAATGCTCTCGCTCTATAACCCCCTGTGGCTCATTACTTATCATTTAGGTGTCTTCACCCATGGCACCTGCTCAGAGAAGCCCTCCAGACCAGCCCCCACTACCTAAAATAACACCCTTGTTACTCTTGCTCATCTGCCTTAATCTTTTTCATTGCACTTTTACAACTTGATACTATATCTCTATTTATTTACTATTTATCTCAGACGAATATGAAAGTCATGTGGGCGGGGATTTTTATTTCTATTCCCCTAAGTTGACAAGACCAACTCTATAGAGCAATGTATTTTTTTTTTCACTTGGTATGTTTGGGAACTGCTAAATTACTGAGAAATTAGTCCTTTCCAACTAATAGGAGAAAAATACAGTTTTTATTAAAATACACACCTGTGTATTTAATCTATTTCAGTTTTTACTCTATTAATTAAAGAAACATTTATGGAGCGCCTAGTACCTGCCAGATACTGGACTAGATTCAGGGGCCTTAGAATTCTGAGTGGCAGCCTCTGCCCTTAGGGTGCTGTCTTTGGATACAGTCATGGAAACGTTCAGCCATACGGTAAATTTATCTGGGATGTGTTCTAGCTGAGCCTGGGGTGATCATCTTTGCTGACTCAACCTTAAGTATGTAGAGGTGTCCAGGACCATGAGATACTTTCCTTACAGTTCTATGGATTGTTTTGTTTTTTTTTTTTGGTATGTGCATGTAGGCATACATCACACAGACACACCTCCCTGTGGGCCCTCTTAACCACCTCCTTCTTCACGCCTCAAGGTGCACTCATTTGGATAACAGTTGTTTGTAAAAAGGCTGTAGACTCTATTAGGACGTATGCCTCCCGCCACCGTGCATACCTGGTGAGGTTGGAGTAACTGTAGAACTCTCCGTTTTCACCCCATGGGCATGTATTGAGTAGGGCCTTGTGGCCATGTTTTTAAAGATAATATTGACTTTGTCTCCAACATCTGCATGAAGCTGAGGACCTGGCAAAAATGAAAAGGAAGACTGACTTATCTACCTGTCAGATTGGAAACTCTAACTCAGTAATAAAAGCAAAGATCAGGTGATTTTTTTATTGTTAAGGGGGTTGTCCACCCCCCCCCGGCGTCATGCTGTAAATCATTCTCGGATTAATACCTGGTCCCAAAGGATTCAGGATAAAAACATTAGTTATAGCTGTCTCTAAAGATGGAGACCGTGGGTTTGTTTCTCATCAAGAGTCCTAGTGGAGGCTTTGGCCTGAACGCTCCCTGCAGGATAGTGGCCTCATCATAGTACATCAGCTGTGCCCCTACCCTGGCCAGGACTCATTTCTCAACATCTGGACTTCAGAGCTTCCTGTGAATTAAGGACAGTTTGAAAGGATGGGTGAGGCTACCCCTCCCATTTCTACCCTCTAGCCGATCTTAGCTTGTCTCCTGCCTGAGGGAGTTTCTAGGACCCAGCCCCAAGAATTTGGTTAGTGTAGAAACACAGTGGGGCTGGGAGTGGCTTCCTTGGCACTTGACTGTGTTCAAGGAAACTCCCAAGACCGCTGTTGGTGGAATTCTTAGACATTCTGTCTTAAAGTGATCCCTGAAAAATTGAAGGCAACTTTTCCCCAAAACTGTTCACTGTGACACTTTTCCCTTTTCCTTATTTCCTTATTTACATGTACATTTCTTGGAGTTAATCATGTACATCTTAGCTTTAAAAGTAAATAGCTATGATTTTTTTTTGAAGTTGGGAATAACAGAATTTGGTTAAGAATTTCAGTAGAAAGTAATTTCTAGCACTTTCATCAAAACTACAGGCATCAATTTGGGAAGTATCAAATATATACAACTTCATTGGTGTATGGTATAGAATATATTGTTACTGACAGAAATAAATAATATTTTATGATGCCATATTTTTAATAAATATGGCTTCTCATTTGATTGAATGGTATTTTTATTTGAGAATAACTTTAATCTATGAACCAAGAAAATTAAACCCATAGACTACACGTACGTCACTAACCCACACCTGAGGAACCGGAGCTGTGAGAGTACCTAGAATTCCCAGATGTTCCTCTTCCGCTTTCCTCGCCACTGGAACGCTGAATGTGCTGTCAGTGTACTGCCGATACACGGCTTTCTTGTACTTGGAGCCTATGTAGTATTCATCCTTATCTAAAAATGCATTTGGAACACTTGGAAACACACACACACAATTAAGGTTACTATTTGTCTTAAGGAGAGTGGATGTTAAGTTTTAAATTTTGAGTAAAAATGTAGTTTTTATTTCATGATGCTAGGTTTTGATATCACTGTCCTATTCCAGCAGGAAAGAATAAGACTTTAACGATAGACAGGGGCGGTGAGAGCGCACCCAGACAGGAGCAGAGTCATTGGTGTCCTGGCCCTGACTCTGTTGCCAGCTAAAAGGACCTCCAGCTGGTCATTGCCTGTCAAAAACCCCTAAAATGTTTTTTTTTATGGCTCTAAAATGTTTTGATTCCACATTTCACCCATGAAGTGTTCTCTGGGTACTGCAGTATTTCTGATCTATACAAACTGAAATGACCCTTTTATCTAGCCGCTCCTTTCACTGAAAGTTTTCATTGATTCCCAATGGCTCCATATACTTTGGACAATTCTACCCAAATCACTGAAATAACTTTTTACTCCCATTCACCACAAATCATACTCACCATCACAGTCAAACTAACCAGATAATCATCAGCTTAGCTAGAGGTTACCAGTCATGTTATGCACCCCAGATCTGAACACATGCCCACCCCGATCTCTCAAATCATATCCATGAAAGTTTAGGGCAAGACATGAGATGATGGAGCGGGGAGTATCTGGCAAAGCACAAAAGGGCTGGAAGCGTCAGGTGAGCTGCTCTGCATGGAATGTTTCTGAAGCTGCAATAACCATCCTTTCCTTACATTTATTCTCACTGAAACCATCCTTACATTTCCATAGTGTATACGTCATTGGTGGTTTTGAGCCGTATTTTCCTCTAAGTTCTTAGAGGGCAGAGACCATATCCGCTCTCGGGCCCTCAAGAATTTAAAATATTCTTCCGTACATAATAAGTAGTTTTAAGAACGTGAAATAACTACTAGACTAATAATGAAATCTTTGGAAGAAAGATAAGCAATAAATGGTTAGTAAAGAAAATTATTGTTTCAGTTCTGAATGTAGCCATTCATTTTGCTATCAGTTTGAAAATCAATGACAAGATAAGGGCACACAAGTCAAAAAGAGTCCAATAGAAAAGAAAGTAAGATGAGTGACTGCAGAGAATCAATGAGATAAATGAAGCCTTTCCTGTGAGACAGTCGAGAGAGGCAGAAGTTAATGAGGAAGGGTTCCTAGGAAGCGTTTTGTTACTGTTTTTGTAGCTGTTCATTGGAATTTAATGTAGCTTAATTCTTACTTCTCTGAAAAAGAAAGCTAGAAAAAATTGGGAATCTGAGTCTAGAGCATTACTTCAGTTCTTGTAAATGGTGCAGCTCCTTTTCCCATTCCCTGCTTGGGGAATAATCCCATTCCACCTCCACCGCCGCAATGTAGTAGGTCCTCTTCCCCAGGTAGAGGTATGAACTCTTAGACGGCCGTCGGCACTGGTTCACCGTGTATTTTTGCTTCATGCCGCCTGTGTAGTGATCAGTCGTGAGGCACTCAATATCAAAAGTCCCTGGAATGGTAAATAAGACAGGTTACCTCTACAGAGTATTTTTCCCCACCTTCCCCCATCAGTCATCAGCCCTTTCTTCTGCCCTATTTTCATAGTACTTATAATCAATTGATATATATGTGTTAATATACTTGCTTGTTGTCTGTCTCCCTGCATTTGAAATTCAGCTCCATGGTAGGGAAGGCATAGCTCAGTGGTACAGCGTGTAGCTTAGCATGCACAAGGTCCTGGGTTCATTCCCCAGTCACTCCATTAAAATAAATATATAAACAAACAAATCTGATACCTCCTCCCAAAAATTAAAAAAAAAAATAGAATTTCACCTCCACAAAAGCAGACACTTCATCTCTTTTGTTCACTTTTCTGTATTTACATTTGTCTAATGAATAAGGGAAAAAGGGACACTGGACCTATCTTGCGTTTCAGTGGCACAAAATGAACCAAATAAAGCCTGAAGAAAGTTAGCATATTTTCATGTTTTGGTTAAAATCCTTTTTGGTTTCAGTTTGTTTTACTCATTCAGAACCAGTCCTGCAGGGGGCTTGGAACTGGCCTGGCTATAGTTCTAGTACAGAATATTTAATAGTAAGCAGCCAATAAGCCCACACTACATCTAGGCTGCAGAGACATGACAAAAAGTTCAGACGCAGAGCCTTTACGGGAGTCGTTCCCTTTCTAATCTGATTTGCCAGCTGTGTGTAAAGGATCATAATTTAAAAGGAGACTGTTTTGAGGGTCCTGCTATGTGGACATGGGAAAAACGTCAGTCCACTCTTGTCACTCCATCCCCTCCTCCCAACAGACAGGAACTGGACGCGTCCAGCATGTACAGAGCTGACAGCAAGGAAGGAAGGATACTGAGAGGCTTGGGGAAGGATGATCTTATCATCCAACACAGAATTTTAAACCAAAACCACACAAATTGATCCAACAGAGACGTGTCTTGATTTTAAAGGAATACACCTTCAGTGTCAGGCTGCATGAGGAGTGTAAGGCTCGTTTGAGGGAAGAGGTTGGCTGTGTCTCTCCTCCCGTCTCTTGACAGGTAAGTGTTTCCTGAAAAGTAGATCCCGTGTACATCGGCCTCATTTCCAGCGCTGAATAAATACCACACGACTGAATCTCCTTGGCACATATTGAGACCAGGCTGATTCCCGTACATGAATCCATTCATGGCTGTAAAAGTTGGGAAATTATATTTTTAAAGTGGTTTATCTTACGTTCTACTTCATGACAGCCTCCCCTACTCTCCAGAGCCAGCTAGATTTATTTAATTTTTAAAAGACCCATTCAGGCCTGCCCACCCCTTTATGTATCAAGAGTGTCTCTGCAACTCCTTGCTGTCCCCAGCCCTTCCAGAGCCGGCCCTGGCTGAAGGGCATGGAGCTGTATGTAGGCTCCTTGTTCTGTGCCCTGCACAACAAGCCACTTCTCAGTTCTCTCAAAGGTCCTATTTGTGAGCATCCAAATGGATGAATAATAACAGCTCTTCCTGGGCACTGCAGACTGGGAATGCGTTCATTGCTCTAGATGGAAAATTCTCTGATTCATCTTGAATCACAAAGCAGAGTATATGCAGGAAGCTTTCTTTCTCTCACTGCTATTTCTAATAGATGATATTCATGACTCCTCCAAAATGCAAAAATGTAAAATCAAAAGGAATATTTAAAAAATTGTGGATATTGTGACCAGTATATATCCAATTAAAAAACATCAGTTTGTTGGGGTAGGATATAGCTCAGTGGTAGAGTGTGCGCTTAGCATGCACGAGGTCCTGGGTTCCCTCCATTAAAATAAATAAATAATAAAACAAACCTAATTACCACCTCCCAATCAGTTTGTAGTACAACTTTACTTTTTTTTCCCTTCTGGCCACAAAGATCTTCCCATGCTGTCCATTAGTGGTGTGAGCATTTTGAACAATTAGCTCACTGTCTCTGAATTCTAACTGCATTTTAGAATTACACTGGGAGCCCAAAACCAAATCCAATGCTAAGTTTGAATTAAATATAAAAATCTCCAGAGGTTGTCCCGAACACTTAAAAAACATTTTAAATAGTTTTTAAAAACTCCCAGGGGGTTCTTATATGTAGTCAAGGGAGAGGCTCATTGAAGTTCATTGAGAGCAGAGGCCATAAAAGGAGCCTGTCATTATTAAGCTGCAGATGAAAAAAGCATCTAAACCAGTAGCTCTCAAAATTTAAACATAAATCAGAATAACCTGGAGGATTTGCTAAACAAAGATTTCTAGCCCCATACCCAAAGTTTCTGATTCAGTAGGTCAGAGCTGGGGGCCCAAGAACGTGCATTTCTAACAAGTCCCTGGTGATGCTGCGCGTGCTGATCCAGGGACCACATTTTGAAGACCGTGTATCTAACTGTATTTTTTATTTTGAATTAAGTGAAGTGAGGATTTAATTGACTGATGCATTAAGCAGTCAACAATATTACCCTCAGACCACTGTTATATTTAATCATTTATTGAAAATTAACCAATCAGCAAAGCTATCAGTATTCTGGTTTAATTAAAAGCATTCCAGGCACAGTACGGGAATTACTTGATACAGGTGGACGATGCAATACTTACAGTGCATCTTATTTGACTCCTGAAAGTCTTCATTCTCCTTATCCACCTGATCAGGTTCTGTTGTAAACATTCTGATATTCTCATCCAGGAGTAAACTCTCATTCTCATCAAACACTGTGGGGAACAAATAGAACTCCTTGTCTACATCTTTCTGTAAATCAAAACAGGAAAAACGAGATGAAGGCAGAATAAGTAAAGCAGAAAGACTTCCATCTACACAATACTAGTTATGCACCAACATGCCAAAGGAAGGATAAGAGCTGAAGTGCCCATTCCTCTTTGTAAATGAAGCTCACGACACACTCCCATCCACCACCAGAATTTTGATTGGTATCTATGTAGTGCATCTCTGGTTCAACAGGATAATTGAAGCCTCTCTCTGCATATAAAAGTTCTGATTCTCCTCTCCCTACCTCTCTGCCAGCTCTGCCCATACAACTTGAACTCACCAAAAAAAAAAAATCTGTTAAAATTGGGGGGTGGGGATATATGTGCTTGTGATAGAAATCAGGGAAGGTGCCATCCACAGTTATAACAGCTGAGAACTCGTGTAAGGGAGAACAGGAAGAAACAGACACATCTTCAATGAAGAAATAGCCTGCAAGTAAGTTGGAACAAGAATTCACACACTCCCCAGACATGTGGACATTCTCACTTCCTCTCGCCCATCCCAGGTGAAAAATAAGGAAGCAGAAATGCTATCTGGTCTATGGAATAATTGAGTAGTTCACAAGAAGGCAGTTGGTCTAAGAAATCAAAGCATATGAGTCCCTGAGAGCAAATTACTCCCTCAAAGAAAAGAAAACTTGAATGATTACTGCATGTCTTTTTCCTGAGATCATTTTTTTCAGATGAAAAACATGATTAATCAAATTTCAAAAATCCAACCAAAGCAGAAACCTGAAGGCTAGATCCTGCAGAAAACTGAATCAGCGATGGAGATGGTCTTAAGAAAGCTCCCATAAGTCAGAAGAAGAGATTCAAAGATGAAAAATATACACATAGAAATAATTTTAGAGAGAAGTTATAAAAGGGGGAGACATAATGATGATAGTGGAAGTGTTCACTGCCATAAAGGGAAAAGACTATTCAGAATCAAAAGCTTCACTGAAAACGAGGCAAAGTTAGTAATATAGACCTATACCTAAAAATGTTCTGGGAAAAATTTTGGATTTCAGAGATAGACAAATTTCTACAATAATCCATTTTAAAAGTTATCATGAACCTTGGACTCCTCTGGCACAGTAAGTGTCAGAGGAAGATAGAATTAAGTGCCAATTACATTTCTGAGGGGAAAAGATTATGATAGAAAAATTTTATACCAGGCAAAGCACAACAAAGTCACATTTTCAGATGTTTAAGGATTCCAGCAGGGAACTGCTACCATCACTTATATACTGACCTATAGAGAAATGGTCAATGAAAAGATTACAGGTCACATTTCCTGATCATCATGCAATAAAACTAAATATTACTAATAAAAAGTTAAACAAATAAAAAGATCATATTTGGTCCAAATAACTCTTAGATCAAAGAAGAAACAAAAATGAATTTCTAAGCATTGAGTAAATAATGTTCAGGAGAATACTACACGTCATGTACGACATAAATTAAACAAATTAAACATAAAAATTCAGACTCTGAACTGTTTAGTTTAAGCAAAGCTGAATAAAAAGAGACGTAAATATCTGAAAATTTTAGAAAACTAAAATGAAGAAAGAATGAGTTAATAAAGACAAAAGCAGAAATAAATAAATTAGAACACTAAAAAGCTAAACCTAAAAATGTATTCTTTCAAAAGACCAATGAAATATGCAAAACTCTGGCAAATATAATAAAAAAAAAACTGAGACCCTGAGTTAGGAATGAGAAAGGACTACAACTGCATCAGTGGGGGAGGAAAAAATTAAGACCATTATGGACAATAATTGTGGTCAGTTGACTTAGGAGGCAACTGAATAGACCAATTCATGGGTGAAATAAAGAGAGTGATTAAAACATAAACAACAAAATTACTTCTTTTTAAAAGTCACAAGCTCAGAGTAGTTTATAGGCAAGTTCTTTTAAATCTCTAAGGAGCAGATGGTTCCTATCCATTTAAACTGTTTCAAAGTACTAAAACTATGGAAAGCTTTCCAATTTATTTAATGAAGATAGTACAACTATGATATAATACCTGAAAAAGCACACAGAATCTAAACTAATCACAGCTTAGATGAAAAATTCTAAGTAAAATATCAAATTCAACACAGAAAGATATCAAAAAAACCCCACTGTGCTCAAAGTAATGTTTCTCCCCCAGAAGCACAAGGATGGTTCAACCCTAGGAAATGCTTAATGTAGTTGGTCACACTTATCGGTTGAAGGAGAAAAGATATGTAATAATATCAAGGAAATCTAAAAATGACTTTTTAGAAAATTTGGCATTCTGGCACTAGCTGTTCCTTTTGCTTTTCCCTCAGATTTTTGCAAGGATACCACTTTAATATCTAGATCTCACCTCAAATAATACTTCCACCTTACCTAAACTATAATTTTAGTTCACTATCATATTACCCTATTTTGTTTTTGTAAAGCACTTGTCACTTTCTAAGGTTATCTATTTTTATTTTTTGTGTTTGCTTTTCTTCTCTCCTTTCTACGCTGTTACTCCCATTGCCTTTTCCTCTCTGCTACACCACACCCTAGAATAGAAATTCTATTAGAGCAGGTCTTACCAATGAATTCTATGCCTAGCACAGTATTTTTTCTGGAGCAGCTCAGTGATTTTAAACTGAAAAACAGTCTCAGTAAACCAGAAATAGAATTAAAAATAAGAACTAATAGCCACTGTCATACTTAGTGGTAAATTAATAGATATTTTCATTAAGATCAGACACTAATCTGACTATTCTAGCCAATCTGAAGCGGCATGGCTAGTAAGTGAAAAAGCCCGGATGAGGACTTTTGTTTTTCCAAGATGAGGACTTTTAATGTGTCCTGTAGACCTTCCTGTGTTGTGACTCCTTCACTTGCAAAATGAAGATCATAAAATATGTGGAAGATAAAACTCAAATTTTAAATCTCAACTCACTAAGTATCAGTTCCTCTACTGTAAAAACAGAGCTAACAATACTTAGCCCCTTGGGTTGCTGTGAAGGTTAAATGAAGTAAAATGTATGAAATACCCCAAAATTCAATAAACTTTAGTCTCCTCTTATTCCTTTCCCAGATAAGCACAAAAATCAAAGAATGGAATCCAAAGGTAGAAAATCATTTTTTTTCAGTTACATATTTACAGTTTTTAAATGATGGCATTACCATTTACAATGGTTAAAGAAAAATAAAACATCTAGGCATAAACGTAACAAAAAAAAATCAAAAACCTATAAAAGGAACTATAAAATACTCCTGAACAAGTGGAAAGACTTTTTTTTTAAGGATTTGATGTTTCTCTCCTGCTTAATAAGACCTCGCTTTGCTCCATAGAGCCTATGACCAGTCGCCAATTTGTTTCTAAGACACAGAGTTTGCTTAAGTTTTCTCGGGGCAGGAGTCTCTCTGCTTAATTGGCCTGGACAAAATTCTTGTGTAGTGTCACTCAACTTTATAGTAATGTCTGTTTTTCCTAAGTTACTTTGTATATTTGAGACAATCTCAATAAAACACTATCAAGATTTTGTTTTCTGGAGCCAGATAACTTTTCACAAGGTTCATTAGAAAGAATAAGTAAACGAAAATGGCCATTAAAATGATGAAAAATAAGTGCATTGAGGTATGGCTACAAGTCATTTAAACACATTATAAAGGCTCTGTAATTATAATAGTATAGTATTGGTGCATGAATAGATACAAACCAATGGAAAAGAACAGAAAATCAAGAAATGGACTTAATTGGAAACGGAAAAATATCCTATGCTCTTGAATTGGAAGGATTAATATTGTTAAAATGGTCATACTACCCAAAGCAATCTATAGATTTAATGCAATCCCTATCAAATTATCCAGGACATTTATTCACAGAACTAGAATAGATAATCCCAAAATTTATATGGAATCACAAAAGACCTAGAATTGCCAAAGCAATACTGCAGAAAAAGAAGGAAGCTGGAGGCATACCCCTCCCAGACTTCAGACAATACTACAAAGCTGCAGCAGTTCAAACAGTGTGATACTGGCACAAAAACATACATATGGATCAATGGAACAAAATAGAGTGCCCAGAAATAAACCTACACACCTGCAGTCTATTAATCTTCGACAAGAATGTCAAGAATATACAATAGAGAAAAGACAGTTTCTTCGGCAAGTGGTGTTGGGAAAGCTGGACAGCAGCATGTAAATCAGTGAAGTTAGAGCACTCCCTCACACCATACACACAAATAAGCTCAAAATGGCTTAAAGACTTAAACATAAGAAAGGACACCACAAATCTCCTAGAAGAGAACATAGGCAAAGCATTCTCTGACATAAACTGTAGGAATGTTTTCCTAGGTCAGTCTACCAAGGCAATGGAAATAAAAACAAAAATAAACAAATGGGACCTAGTTAAACTTATAAGCTTTTGCACAGCAAAGGAAACCAAAAACAAAACAAAAAGACAACCTACTGACTAGGTGAAATTATTTGCAAACAATGAGACCAACAGGGGCTTAACTTCTAGAATATACAAAATATACAACTCATACAACCCAACAACAAAAAACCAAATAACCTAATCCAAAAATGGACAGAAGACCTAAACAGATATTTCTCCAATGACGACATACAGATGGACAGGTGAAAAGATGCTTGATATGGCTAATTATTAGAGAAATGCAAATCAGAACTACAGTGGGGTATCACCTCACACCAGTCAGAATGGCCATCATTAAAAAGTCCACAAACAACAAATTCTGGAGAGGGTGTGGAGAAAAGGGAACACTCTTACGCTGTTGGTGGGAATATAAAATGGAAAACAATGTGGAAATTCCTTAAAAAACTAAAAATAGAGTTACCATATGATCCAGCAATCCCTCTCCTGGGCATATACCTGGAGAAAACTCCAATTTGAAAAGATAAATGCACCCCAATATTCATACCAGCACTATTTATGATTGACATTGAAGCAACCTAAATGTCCATTGACAGATAAATGGATAAAGCAGTTGTGGCATATATACACAATGGAATACCACTCAACCATAAAAAAAGAATGAAATAATGCCATTTGAAGCAACATGGATGGACCTAGAGATTATCATATTAAGGGAAGTAAGTCAGACAGAGAAAGACAAGTATCATATGATATCACTTATATGTGGCATCTAAAAAAATGATACAAATGAACTTATTTACAAAACAGAAACAGACTCAAAGACATAGGAAACAAACTTACGGTTACCAAAGAGGAAAGGGCAGGAAACGGATAAATTAGGAGCTTGGGATTAACATATACACACCACTATATATAAAATTGATAAACAACAGGGACCTACTGCATAGCACAGAGAACTATATTCAATATTTTGTAATGACCTATAATAGAATCTCTAATGGAAATACATATATATGGATAGATAGATAGATAGATAGACAGACAGATAACTGAATCACTTTGCTGTACACATGAAACTAACACAACATTGTACATCAACTATACTTGAATAAAAAAAGACAATTGGGGAATGTGAACATTGATTGGACATTTGATGATATTAAGGAATTAAGATGATGCTTTTAAGGTGTGATGATTGTATTGAATGCATTTTTAAAGGAATCCTTTTCTTTTGAAATTCACATTAAAATATTTATTTTAGAGATAAAAATAATGATAGGGTAGATATTTCTATTTCTAGGTCATAGGGTCATTTTCTTATTTCTAAAAAATATTTTAAGCAATATTTTTTTCCTCAGTAAATGTTGAATTACATCATTAATAGATGGTTTTTTAAAATGTGTGTATTGAGGTCTAATAGTATCATGAGAGACTTTGGATTTCAAGGAAAATCTTGTTTCCAACTCATCTTGGAATAATCATGTTATCCAGAGAATCTCTGCATGATACAGATATAAGTTTAAGAAAAAATTATAGTAAACATTATGTAAGGAACTCTTACTGCCTCAAAATCTAGAATTTACCTTATAATAATGATATTCAAAGGGATTGGAAAATTATTTTCATTTTCCTGATTGGACTTACCTGTTTCCCATTTGGAAGTAAACTTCCTTTCCTGCATATTTTCATTGGCCCGATCAGCCCAGTAAATATATCTTTGGTGGGATCCACAGCAGAATAGTACATCTTAGCTAGACAGACAGGATCTTTGTAAGTGGGTCCCACTTCTTCGGGGACAGTCCATTCATAGACGAATGTTTCTTTGGGTGCCACATGGGAGGCTGAAGAAGAGGGCACACCTGTAGGAAAGGTCACATTGGAGAGGTGAAGTATGCTTTCTAATGTGGTCATTTGAGCCACGAAGTAGGATTTAGTCTAGGATAACCCTCTTCTGTGTTTCTCACTATGAGTTAGAATGGAATCCTACTTGTGCTCCAATGTCAGGTTACATATGGGTACGATTTCCTCCAGGAAGTCTCCTCTAAACCACTGTCTGAGATGGGTGCCTGCTACGACCTGAATGTTATGTTTCCTCCAAATTCACATATTGGAATCCTAATGCCCAATATGATAGTGTTGGAGGTGGAAACTTTGGGAGGTGATTAGGTCACGAGAGTGAGCCCTTCTGAATGGGATTAGTGCCCTGACAAAATGACCCCACAGAGCTCCCAGCCCCTTCCTCCCTGTGAGGATACTAGAAGTCTGAGACCCAGAAGAGGGTCTTTATTGGTCAGCTTTGACATACATAAATATCTAAATACTTCTATATAATGGAATATTTTGTATCATTAAAATTACATTTATAAAATGTTTATGATGCAAAGAAACCAAACTGGGTACAAAATTGTAGTAACTAAATTTATATATTATGATCTCAAACACATGTAAAATATATATTACTATGTACACAGATGAAAGATTGGAGGAATTATATAGAAATACAATGGTGGTTGTTTATGGAACTATGGATAATATTTTTGGCTCTACCTTTTAATATTTTTCAAATATTCTAAAATGTGCATCTAATCTTATAATTGCAAGAAGGAACAATCACCCAAACAGAACTCCAGGAATGAATCACTGACACAATCCAAGTAAGTTACTGCCAGCATTGTCAATAGTCGTCCAATTAAGGCAGGACAAAATTCCATAAGCCAATTGGCAATGGCAGGAGAAGAGTTTTATGTGCTTCCTGGCATGATGCCTGAGAATGAGACACGAGCAGTTTCCTCGGGAGTTCCTGCCTTTGGTTTCCGCAGGACTGTTTTCCTGGGGTGACCGGCACAGTGGGTTATCACACGTGATCGTTTGGTTGCAGTGCTGTACTCACTTCCACTGGAGGAGCTGTAATGTGTGCCCTCGTTGCTCTTGCTGACTCTCACCCCAATCGGCTCAATACTGAGGGGATGGGCTCCTTTGTTATGGAAGGTGACTCTGACGGTGTCTTCCACCTCTGCCCAAATGACAGGACCTAGGGACGAAGGAAGAATTACTGTCCTCTCTGGTAGATAACAGAACACGTAAGCCAATTGTTTTCTTTGGCTTATCCTCTGGCAAGAACCACTGGAAGCAACATGCTTGTTGTGGCAAGTGGAAAGCTTGGTTTTTAAAAAGCCCATTATCAATTTGACATGGGGAGGCTGAGAAGGGCTTTTGGATTCAACTTCAGGTTAATGAAATGTGTTATCATTTTTATCCAAGTCAGTTCACAAGCTTTATACATCTATAAAAAATGACCCAGAGTATCTATAATCCCCTAGTTTTCTGTTGGCTAGGTGTGTGCTATTCGTCCCAAGAGTCAAGGGGTTGCTATAAACTTTGACCACCCAAATAGGGTAAGTCAAATTGTCTGGGATGTGAAAAGTAACTCTCGTGTGGACTTTTCATCACCAAAATTAATATTATTACTAAATATAGAATAAAACCACAGATATATCATCTATAAGTATTTTACATACTATATAAAATTATATTTATTGAGAGCGTTCTATGTGCTCTTCTGAGTGTTTATGTGTATTAACCCATTTAATCCTTACAATAACTTTATGAGGTAGGTATTTTTATTATTATCATTGTTCCCCTTTTACAGAAAGGGGACAGGCGCAGAAGGTTGAGTACTTTCGAAGGTCACACAGCTAACAGGTGCAGCGCGAGGACAGTCTGAATCCACCCACTCTCTATTCCACCCAAATGCCTGAGCAAGAACCGGTCTCTGGGCTCTGCCTGACAGCAGCCTGCAGAAGGTTCTAAAACAAACCCAGTCTGTCTCATTAGCAGTCTGGATTTTAGTTCTAAGGGAATGTACCTTTAGCTAAGAGCTGAGGCTAATAGCTTTCTTGTCTATTTAAACATATTCACATAAATACACAATTCCCCTTACCTCTTTAAGGAAAAAAAAATCATCATTTGAAGTCAGCATGGCTTTTAATGATGACGATTATATATTGGTAACTTATGTTTGGAAAAGTAATCAGCTGCTGTATTTTACTGATGATTGCTCCTCCATGTCCAAAGTTTATGTGGAAATCATGCCACAGGTTCTGAAGTTTTGCTCTTTCTGAGGCTAGTTGTCACTCAGGGATTGAGTGCATTAGTCATAAAGATTCTGCACAGACTCACCCAGAATGCCAAGATGTTCCTCCTCAGGGCCTCTCTCCTTTTGATTTGTGAAGGAGGCATCTGTATACTCACGATAAACGAGCTTTTTATATGAGCCTCCAATTCTTGTAGAACCACGTTCAAAAAATACCTCTGAAGCACTGCCAAAAGAAAAAGGGCTTAACTCTGGACTTGAAAGCAGAACAGAGGCAGAATGCGAATTGAAGAGAAAAATTCTAACCAGTGCTTAGAGATAATTATTAGCCATGATTTACCAAATACTCAAAGAGAAGCAGAGAGTACTAGGCATTTCATAGAAGGGTATTCAGTTGAGGAGTAGAGACTCATGGCATGGAGATTTTACTTTTTCAAGTGAAATGAAAGAATTTCAAGAAGGTCCATGTCAACCCCTGACAGTTAATAAATTGTCCTACAGTAGAATCTTTCAAACAAATTACGAAATGTCCAAAAATACAATAGCTGTTCTATTGCATATTAGCACTCAGACGTTTCCATTTATTATCTGAAACTCTAATGACAATGCAACAAAGTTGGTTTTATTCTCCCCATTTTTCAAATGAAGAAATTAAATCTCAGAAAGGCATTTGACTTGCCAAAGCCACCTCATTCATCTCTTCCTCATTTGACAAACGTACTGCAGATCTGCTCTTTTAAAAAAATGTTTTTTTGGGGGGGGAAAGGGTAACTAGGGTTTGTTTTATTGTTTTATTTATTTAGTTAGTTAGTTATCTATTTATTTATTGAAGTGGAGTTGCTGGGGATTGAACCCAGGACCTCACACTTGCTAAGCACACAGTCTACCAGTGAACTGTACCCTCCCCTTGAACACCTGCTCTTTGCCAGGAACCGTGCTATGTGCTGATGGCATAACCATAAACAAGCTGGACCTGTCCCTGTCCACAAGGACTAAAGTCCCATCTGTCCCAGAAGACAGACTACAGACCAATCAATATAATAACATGTAATAAGCACAGGGTGTTAGGGAACATTTCTCCTGGGGTTGGAGGAAGTGGTGGGGAGAAGCCCCACAGGTTTTCCAGAGGAAGTGAGTCTTTGAAACCATCTAGAGGAGAAGTGGAGTTTAAAAGATGGAGTATGTGTGGTGGGGAGAATGCGGCAGGTGTTTACAAAGAGGGAACAGCCTGTGGGAAGGCTCAGAGGAGAGAGTGAACATGGCATGTTTTACAGAACATGACAGGAGCATAGCATGCAGGGCAGGGCAGAGGGGTGGAGAATGAGACTTGGAGGGAAGAAGGGGGCGGGCAGGAGGACATGGGTAAAGTTTCAGTTCTCCATCTCAGGGCAGTGGGAAAGTGTTGAAACATTTACATATTCAGGATTAGTGTTTTGGGAGGATCCCTCAGGAGGCTGCCTGGAAAGTGTGTTGGAATACGTAAGACGATGGTAGGGAGACCCGTCAGCAGACTGTCTTAAAATCTCAATGAGAGGCAGTGATGACTTCAGAGGCATTGGCAAAGAGGATAGAGAGAAGCAAACAACTTTTGGAGGTACGTAGGATATAATGGGGCACTATTTGATGAGAAGAGGAGGAGGGAGAGAGTCAAGGGTGGTAGTCAGGTTTGGGGCTTGATCAATGGATGAAAGGTGACACCATTCATGGAAACTCAGATTTGTGGGGAAGGCAATGGGTTCAGATTTGGATATATTGATTTGGAGGGACCTCATCCAAGTGGTGTGTCCATTAAAGCAGTTCAAAATCTAAATCTGAAATTTATAAGAGCCTTCTGGACTGGTGATACAGCTCTGGGAGTCGTCACATCTGGATGTCAGTGTCACCTGGGACTTAAATCTCTGCTTCAGGAGATGCAAGCTTGGGCAGAGCCAGGTCCAGCTACTGACCTATCATTTGTCATTGAGTAAATTACTTAATTTCTCCAAGTAGATGTGTGGTAAACAAGGCTTCTCTAAAAAGGTGATGTTTGAGCAGAGTCTTGGAACAGGGGTGTAGCATAGTCTCACTGATATTTTTGAAAGCTCACTTTGGCTGTTTTATGAGGAATGCACAGTAAGAAAGGGAGGCAGGAAGGAAGAACAACTGGGAGGTTATGGAAGTCATCAGACACGTACAAAAGTTAGCTTGTATACATCAAAGGACACTATTAAGAGAGTGAAAAGAAAACCTACAAAATAAAGGGAAATATTTGTAAAGTGTATATATCTGATAAGAGATTATTAATATCCAGAATATAAAAAGAACTCTTATACCTTAACAACAACAACAAAACCCAAACAATCTAATTTTTTAAATGAGCAAAGGACTTGAACTGACATTTCTCCAAATTGCCAACAAACATCTGAAAAAAATGCTCAATATCACTCATCATTGGGGAAATGCAAATCAAAACCACAATGTGATACCACTTTGTACTCATTAAAAGGGCTATTATCAAAAAAAGGGAAAATGAATGTTGATAAGGATGTTTGGAATCCTTGCACATTACTTGTGGGAACATAAAATGGTGCAGCCACTATGGAAAACCACATAGTGGCTCCTCAAAAAATTAAAAACAGAATTATATGATCAAGCAACTCCACTCCTAGTTGTATACCCAGAAGAATTGAAAGCAGAGATCTAAACAGATACTTGTACTCCACTGTTCACAGCAGCATTATTCACAACAGCCAAATGGTAGAAACCACTCAAGTGTCCATTAACAGAGAGAGGAATAAATAAAATGTGGTATATGAATACAATGGAATATTATTCAGCCTTAAAGAGGAATGGAATTCTGATACCTGCCACAGCATGGAGGAATCTTGGAAACATTATGCAAAATGAAATAAGCCAGACAAAAAAGGATAAATATTGCATGACTCCACCTGTTTTAGGTGCCTAGAATAGGCACATACATAGAGATAGAAAGTTGGATATCAGGGAAGGGGAGTTTTTGTTTAACAGACAAATAATTTCTGCTTGGAACGATGAAAAGCTCTGGAGATGGATAGTGTTGATGATTATATAATCTTGTGAATGTATTTAATGCTGCTGGGTTTTACAATGCTATGTTTTCAGAAATGGAAAGCAAATGAATTGATCTGTCTAATTGTATTCAGTGTTTTCTAGGGATTTTGTTGAGCATTTGATAACTTTTAAATCCATTCTTTTTCATGGACTCAGAAATCCTGTTTTTCAAACTTGGACTCACTACCAAACACCTTAATACATATTTAGCAGTCTAGTTAACTCAATTTCAGGTACCAATTAAAATTTTAATTTTTTAAGACTTTAATTGCTGAATCAGTCTTTTATACTTTTTTTTCTTAGGGGGAGGCACATTTTGAAATAATAATCTTTTTTTTTCCCCTGAATTACCTTTCAGGTGCTGTTAGGCTTTCTTTGGTGAAGTTGTCTATGCCGGAGGGTGCGTAGTTCCAGATGATTTCCTCCGCAGCAATGTAGTAGTGTCTGACATGTTTGCCACGGATGTCATCCTCAGATGAGGGCTTCTTACAGTCTTGTACTGAGAAAAAGGCCTGCAAACCAGCTGAAAATCACACAGAAGGAGACACTGGTTAATGGAGCCAATATTTCTCTCTCTTACTGCCTTGTAAAAACTGCTGGTGAAATGACACATAGAAATGGTAGAAACAGAGCTGGAAACCATACTACACACTAGAGTAAACAGTTGTAAATAAATTACTCATGGAAAGTTCAAGCAGTGAGGAGGTTGGAGTATAGCGCAGTGATAGAGCGAGTGCTTAGCATGCATGAGGTCCTGGGTTCAGTCTCCAGTACCTCCATTAAAAAATAAATAAATAAAGCCCAAATTACCTCCCTCCAAAAAAATTTTTAAAAAAATTCTCTATGTGGCACAGAGAAGATACTACTTGTGTTTTTAAAAATGTGGAACCAGTTTCTGTGGCATTCCACTTAGGAGGTCTTTGGGATGAGGAAAATAAAAAAGGTAAGGGATGTGGAGAGAAATGAATTTTCTCTGTATTTTATTGCACCTACACAGTGAGTTCAGCATTAAAATAAATAAGGCTTTAATGAGAAAAAATAGATAAATGATCAAGAGAGGTTTTGCCACAGTTTGAGGGATAGGGCAGAGTAGGGGAGGGGGAATAGAATGGGCATGTGCTATTATTGTTCTCTCCAATAAAATGGTTATGTACCTGCGGTGCTGGGCCCTCTGCGGCCAAGGTCACATCTGATGAATGAGATTATGTTTGAAGGTCAAAGTAACATACTCAAAGACCCATATTAAACCTAATTTCTTCAGGAGACCAATATTACAAACTAGTATTTTTCAAGGGCTGGGAATATTTTATTGCCTCACATTAAAGAGATGGAGGAGGGATTTAGCATGTTAAACCAAGGAATAGCTGGACTCAAAGAACAAAGTTGATTATATTTAAGAGAATCAAGTCAAAAAGCTACTTTTCAGCACAATATGCAAATCTTCTGGTGTTTATAATATTGTATAGTTTACAAAGCTGAGAAACTGTATATAGTGTTATACTTTTAGGGTAGGACTATATATACATTCAGGGCCAATTTTTCTTTTCCAAAAATTAACATATTTTCAGTTTTAATTACTTTATAAGTGCTCCAGTCTTTATTTTTTTTCAGAATTACATTATGATTCATACTGTCATAGGAATAAAATTAAGTTACCAGTTCAAAGCTCAGATCATTCCAAAGATATTTAGCTTTTAGATTCTGATTTCTAATAATCCTTCATGAATACTGGAAATGGGACATGGCTCCCTTTTCAACTGACAGCTAATTTCAGGCAAAGATGCCTTACCTTTCAGATGGTTTAGATTCTGACAGCTAAGCATCCATTCTCCAGGGTTCTGGGCCACCATTAAAGCATCAAAGAGGGTAGCAGGAAAGAGATTGACTGTGTCGATACGGAAGTTCTTACTCGTCAACACTTGCCCGTGGAAGAAAGCTGCATGCACGTCAATTTCATTACCCATACCAAAAAGGTACCATTTTACTCTGTCCCCAGCACACATGGAGAGCCCTGGGAGACTTCCAAAAGCGTAACCATTCACAGCTGTAAATCAAGAGCAGAGATGATGACTAGCAGACATTGGTGTCCGGGTTATTGACAGTAACCCCTACAGATACAAAATTAACTTGGGGTGGGAAATACCTGGCACACATCCTCCCTCCTGCACCCCCATCAGACATTGTTAATCAATCACAGCACTCTCATTTGGACCTGAATTCAGCCTCAGAATTTTTGTCAACACAATATTAGCAGATGAACACAACACTGAAGATAAAACCTATTTGCTCTCTTTGTTATAAACTATGCACCTTGAAATGTTCATGTGTGCATTAGTAAATACAAACGATTGCACACATACATATATGTACAAAATGTACACACGTATGGCAAATAGAAAAGAAGAGACTGAAGGTTATTTAGTGATCAATTATGTATCGTGTCAGTGGTGGTAGCGTGGATGATTTCAATGTTTTCTTTTCTGTTTGTCAGGACTTTTCAAATTTTCTACAGTGACTGTGAATTGCTTTTGTAATAAGAACACAAAGAAATTTTTTATTTTAGATTGGAAGACAAAATTTGAAGACATATGGAGGAAAGAAGAAACACATGAAGACGTTAGGGACCAGTTACCAGAGCCACAAAGACCTCAAAGTTCAAAAGCACGATGGCCTGAGATTCTTTGAAGAAACTAAGGGTCACCGTTCAAACTAGGAGGTCTTAGAGTTAAGGCGGAAATTGGTTCTGGGAAGCACAGTGAATGAACCAGATGCAACAAAGGCACCACACCAGGTCTAGCCAGACCAGAAGTTTGAGTATCTAGCACCTGTTTTGGTTAGCACATAACAGATGCTGGATTAAAGCATGGGAAGAGGAACGTCAAGCTGAAAAAAGCAAAAGTTGGAAACAAAAATCTGTACTTTGTTAACTTTTTTTTTTGATAGTACAGTTATTTTCGTGTTCTCAGTTTCTGAGTAAGGGTTATTTTGAAGAAGCTAAACACAAACAAACAAAAAATCTATACTTATTTGTCTAGCTGGTGTTAAAGGATTTGATTTTTTATGCAAATTCTGAGTGATACACTGTCTTTATTGACACATTTAGTGACTAATTATCTTGTGTCGAGAAATAAGAAGCAGTGTCTAGGTAGTACAGAAAGAATTTCTAGAAGAAATAAAGTGAACTAAAATAAAGAAAAAAATTATGCAAAGTTTGTGGGGAGGGTAGTGAGGGACAATATATACGTAAAAGAAATACCTTTTAGACCTAGTGGTCTGAACTAGTTTCATTAATATAGTTCAATGTTTTACAATATAATTTAATAATATTAGGCTACCTCGAATAGTTCTTAGAATGACTTGGGAGGATAAAAAATATATAAATATAACACACATATGCATTTAACCATAACTGATAATTTTTTATCTTTATCAGTTTGGAAAAAAAAATAGGACCTATCTGGCTTTACCTGGCTTGAAGCTTAGACTGACCCGTTAAATCAAATATCATGTTACACATCCAATAGGCTTTGTTACCATGGTCATAGATTAGAAACACACTACTGATCACGTGAGGGAATAAGCTTAGCAGAGTTAATGGATTGGGGAAAATAAGATAAAGTTAACAAGTCTTGTGTAATCTTACAATACATTCTGTTACTCTCCTGGAAGTCTTCATTGTCTTTGTCAACTTTTTCTGGTTCAGAGCAGTAGGTTTTAATGTTGTCTTCTAGGTACCAGCTGAAATTTTCATCCGCCACAGAAAACATCACCACAAATTCTTGATCAATATTTTTTTCTTTTTCTTGATCCAGAGAATCTAACGTGAAAATTACTATTTCAGTAAGACTTAATTTTTAGAATTTTAGCATGTGATTTATAGTTTTTAAAATTTTTAGTATTTATTTTCCTAATAAATCACAAGTCTAGACCAGTCACTCCTGTTTTATAGACTTCGACACCCTGAGGGAATTTTACATGCAGTAACCTGAGTTTGTGAGATCCTCATATATCTGGATATACACTGACCACGTAACTATTCAATATTTTTTGGCAAATGAGAGGGTTGGAATTCAAAGTTGTGTGTACATCTTTGAGTGTATATAGTCACAAACTGAGACAGCAAGACTTTGTAGGTAACTAAGCTATGCAGTTTTTTTCATGATGTCAGAGATGGATCCTATGATAATACATTTACCATCACAAAGCAGATAACTACAGATCTATCACCATGGCATGTCATTAAGGGAGTCATGTTTGGTAAAATCATACATCTCTTCAGTACCACTGTGGGAAGTTAGATACAGGAAACCTACCCCCAGGGAGAGCGTATTTATTGCAGCTGGGCAATGTGCGCGAATACTTGCTCCACGTATCCCTTCTCCCCCTTCTCCTTCCCTGCTTTTTCCTTTCTTTTTTCTAGACTCACCACCTCTCTACTTTACACACTCAGTCATAACATGGAAGACTTAACATTTATTTAAAAAACAAGACGTCTCTGTCTACTGCCTTTGGTCATTTATTGTGAGTGGTAAAGAGAACATGTACCTTTTTTACAGTGTATTAAAGGTCCAATTAGTCCTGAGGCGATATCTCTTGGAGCATCAATGTGGGAATGATAAATCCTGGTCACACAATTGCTGTCTTCCTCCCCGGGACCTTGTTCTGGGTCGGCATGCAATATGTATGTATGCTGCTCACCTGGCTGCACTTTGTTGCCTGCTTTTTGAAAATCTGTGGTGTTATCAGGGTAGACGGCCCCTGGGAAACAACATGCAATAAAATTACAAATTGAGTACGTTTGAATTGAAGTGAGAAAATAGATGGTCCATTAATTTGGTCAGCAAACATTTATTCAACATCTAGTATGTGCCCCCTTGGGGATGCAGTGATATCGTATTTGAACACAGAGAATAAGAGGCAAATGGCTACAGGGTCTGGACATTTCGCAGAAAAGGTCACTTTTTATACCTGGCTGAGTCTTCAAGGAGTGTAATAGATATGTCAGGACAATAGTGACTTTGGGTTTGCAATTTAGAGAACCACTTTTGCCCTGGGGCTATGGTATGGAAGTAAGAGCAAAACGTTTACCTTCTACAATCAGAAGCTTCCTGTATGGTATTAGATTTTTTGCCTGTGCTTTAACCATGGAATTGTTTTATTTTACTTTAATTTTGTAAATTTCCAAACATATGTGAAAGTTGAGAAAATAATATGATGAACCTCCCTGTGCCCATCAACTTAGCCTTAACAATGACTGATTCAAGGCCAATCTTATTTCATCTATACTCCCATCCACTCTTATCCCATCATCACTGAATTATTCTAAAGCAAATCTCAGACATCATATCATTTCATTCATAAATACTTGAGTATGTATCTCTAAAAGTCAAGAATTCTTTTTTCTAACATAGCCACAATACAATTATCATACCTTAAAAATGATTAATACCCTAATATGCCATGAAGCTATAAAAAATAAATAAGATGGCAATCAGCTTCTATGCTATGAATGTAATTGTTTGGTCTAGGAAAACAAAGAAAAAATATAGATGGTCAAAACATTCACCTTGTAAAGCAATACTTCTTTTAAAAAGATAATAATTAATCAAAACTAATTTGATCTTAATTTCCAACTCGATCCTTATCATTTCAATGACTGTAGCATGGCCTCAGCATTTCTGCTTATGATAATAGCTGACATTTATTGAGCTATTATTATGTTATTACATATTATTTTATCACTGTCCCTATTTTATACATGGGAAAACTGAAACATAGGGAATGTGACTTGTCCAAGATTATTCAGCCAGTAAAAGGCAAGGTTGCACTCGAACATTGGTCTATTAATTTTGAAGCCCTAGCTCTTAACCATAACAAAACACCATCTCTTTTCATCATCAAGGACTAAGAATGAGATCATAAGCACCAAACTTAATCTTTGCTCTTCCTGTACTGTCTGTAAGGCCCCCCAGTCCTACATTCAAGTGACCTTTTGGTTGCTGTGTCTCAGATGTGACTCTGGGATTATCCAGCCACATGCACCATTTGGAGGACGTAGGAGACCACTCGTGCTGCCTTAGCCAGGACAGAGTTTATCCAAAGTTAGGACGGGAGGTGGCAATGGCTACAGTGTGTTCACAGGTAGAAACTTCAGAGATAAGACAATCCTCATCTTGAGTCCTGTTTCTTCCCTCTGGACTTCTGCCTTTCCTAGGCTTTGATGCACACTACTTATTTCTCTTATTTTGACTCTTTGTCTGGAAGGGAGTTGGGCATTGGGAAGGAAGGCCTAGCTCTCATGGACTCTTGTCTGTATGAGTCCACCCGGAAACACTATCACATTCACATTTCACACCAACAAGCACAACCAAGAGAAACATGGCATTATTAGGATGAACCAAGATAATTATTCATAAAATAGTTTAGAGCTAAACAACATAGCTATAGGTCTTATCCAGGATGGGAGTCCATAATCTCAGAAGTTAAAAAGTGCTCCCCCAAAGTATGGAGATTTCTTTAAAAAAACACTAAAAATAGAATTACTATCCGATTCAGCAATCCCACTCCTGGGTATATATCTGGAGAAAACTCTAATTTGAAAAGATACATGCACCACAATGTTCATAGCAGCACTATTTACAACAGCCAAGACATGGAAGCAACCTAAATGTCCATCGACAGATGATTTGGTAAAGAAGTTGTGTGTGTGTGTGTGTGTGTTTATAAATACTACTCAGCCATAAACAAAAAGAATGAAATAATACCATTTGCTGCAACATGGATGGACCTGGAGAGCAGAGATCATCATACTAAGTGAGATAAGTCAGACAGAGAAAGACAAATATTACATGATATCACTTATATGTGGCATCTAAAAAATGATACAAATGAACTTATTTATGAAACAGAAACAGACTCACAGATATAGAAAACAAAATTACTGTTACCAAAGAGAAAAAAGGGTAAGGGTTAAATTAGGAGTTTGGGATTAGAAGCTATAAACTACTATATATAAAATAAACAACAAGATCTTACTGTATAGCACAGGGAGCTATATTCAATATCTTGTAATAACCTATAATGAAAAAGAATATGAAAAGGAATATATATATATACACACACACACACACACACACACACATATATATATATATATATATATAACTGAGTCACTCTGCTGTACACCAGAAACACACAACATTGTGAATCAACTCTACTTTAATAAAAAATAAAAAGTGCTCCCACTGAAGAGGAAGAGGAAATTCCAGCTAGCATATGAGCTGAACTCACCCTCATGTTCCTTATAGTAAGTCATTCCATGTGCATGAAATGTATAGGGTCTAGAGGCGAAGTTTTTTAAATGTACATAAACTTTATCTCCCGTTTCAGCTTTGATAATAGGACCTAAAAACCCCAGCCAGACAGGTTTTTCTATAATCATTTCAAAGGTTTCATCTGTGTACTGAAGATAAAGGGCCTTCTTGTAGACTCTTCCAATTCTGTTGGGGCCATTTTGAAGATAGATATCAGAATGTTCCCTGCAAAGGAAGAGAAGATAACTCTATGAGAAGCCATCATTTCTGGGGATAACATTATAATTAAAGAGAAATGAATGACCGCATCACATTAAATGTTTGCCTGTAGTTGTAGGGATGCCTCCAAAACATGGAGAGGAGAGCTGTCACTTAGCCCTGTTATTTCAATTATGTGAGGTGTCCCATAACAGCCACATGGCAGATAACCATGTGTGAATGCACCATAAAAAAATAATGCATCTTCCCAGAGTATTTCCTACAAGATTTTCATATTAAAACACAGAGGCATTATGGAATGGAATATAAAATATTAAAGTGAAATATTAAAGCAGTTAAGATATTTCTCACATATGGTGTACATATTTCAGCCACTGGAAAAATTTGAGTTTCTAAGCAATCAATCTGGATATGTGAGGTGTCAAAGTGTATATATAGAGGGGAGAGAAATAGCTCAGTGGTAGAGTGCATGCCTAGTATGCTTAAGGTCTTGGGTTCAATTCCCAGTACCTTTATTAAAAAAAGAAAAGAAAAGAAAATACTTTTAAAAAGTGTTTACATTTCAAAAAAAAAGTGTGTGTATATATTTCTTTCCTAAAGTAAAACTAATAATGTTGAAGTAATTCTGTAATTTTTATTTCTTTTAGCAAACCTAAATCAAAGTTAGAATTGATGCATGCAATGTGTGTGGGTTTTTAAATTACTTTTGCATTCGAATTACTCCGGTATTTTTTTAATCCCTTGCTACCAAAAATACTTAAACATTGAATGTTTATACTCTGGTTAGTGGCTGATTAATAGTTGCTTAAAACGTTCCTAAAAATATCTGCAAAGTAAATAGTAGCCAGGAAAAAAAAAAAGAAAGTGAGTTTGGCATTGAAACTTTTGAACTGGCTCAAGTTACTGTCCTTAACAGAAGCCTGTATAGCTTCAGGGGAGCTACTTGTGAGCAATGCCATCTAGCCGTTCAGGAGAACCCATTTAAAACTCGGACTTGGGCAAGCCCCTCCACAACCGAGGTCTCCTCCACTAGAATAAAAACTGCTAACACCCTGGCTGATGATCTGGTTTTGTGTGTGTTTGTGTGTGTGTGTGTGTGTGTGTGTGTCTCAGAGACCTTTGATGCCTTTCCATTTTCCACTCAACCCATGTGGGGCTGGATGACCTGACTGAGAAATAAACTTTGTCTTGTTTTCTCGGCGGTAAGCTCATCGGAAAGAATGAGGGATGTTTTTCCTTTCTCTCTTCAAGATGAGAGCAGGGCTTGTCTGGAAGCTCTGGGTTTTCACTGTTGCAGAGTTTAATGGCCTAGTTTTTTAAAATCTAGGGCTTTAGCCTAATGTTTCTTAAGTTTTAATGTGCATAGGAATCTACTGAGGACCTTGATAAAATGCAAGTTCTTGGGCCCCAGCCCAACTGATACTGTGTGTGTGCGGCTGGCGTGGGGTTCAGGCATCTGCATATACTGACAGGTACCCCTACGTGTTCTGATGCTGCTCTGGGCTCCTGGGCAACTTGAGGTGGGGAGGCTCCAGGGTGAAGGGGAAGAAAGCTGCCCAATCCCAGAGGTAGTGGGATTCCCAGAGGCCATGAGACAGAAAGGAGGCAGGTTCTGTTTCCAGGTCATTCCCTGGTAGTGACCAGCTCCCTGCGGGCATGGCTGCTTGAGAAAATCAGATTAAGCCTGAGTGCTGGGAGCACTTGGCAGTGACCCTGGGGGCTGAGTTTAGGCGGTGGGAATGGGTGTTGAAAACAAAACCAGGGGGCTTTGACAATGAGTATCTCGCAGTTGTCACCCTGGGGACCCCAACTTTCCTGGATTGTTTAAACCCCAGGATTCTCAGATTGTTCACTGAAAAATGAATGAGGTGGGATTCCTTTCCCCTATCATGGTGGGAGAAGAGCCAGGCTGGAGGTTAGAAAAATAAAGAAGTGACATCTTTTGTACCCACTATGGCGAATCCCACGCTTATGCCTTTATTTCTCGTATTCATTTTCATTTTCTAATTTCTTGTTGCAGTTTCCACTTTATCAAATGAAACAGAAAAAAAATTTAGAAGGGCTCTGAAGAGACTTCAAGGACATGAAAATGCATGGAAAAACAGCAGGATGGGGTATGAATTCTTCCCCTCAAACTGCAGCATTTGTATGGACAGGAGTTGTCTTAATAAATAGATGTTTTAACAACAGCAAAATTCCAAGGCACTGAAGATCACTGAGACGAAAGGCAGATTCATCCAGTCCATACAGCTGAGAGGAGGTCAGGAAGAGGACAGTGTCAGTCTGGCACACTGTTCCAGATGCAAAGATGGAATTCCTCTCTGGTCGCACCAGAACCTGGACCACTCAGTATCACACAGGCCCATCTAAACCTCAGGTAAATTTTCTCCAGTGTCTGTCTCCTACTGTTAGGAGATCAGCTCCAATAACATTTAAGTAGAGATTCTCATCTGTGTTCTACCATGCCCTGTTGATACACATTAAACAAGGCCAATGTTTAAAAATAGCCCTCAAATTCTGAAGGCTTCATTTAAGTACAGTGTGTATTTATATTTCCTGTCTGTGACTCTAAAGCATTAAGGAATATATCACATCCCATTTCAATAAATTGCAGTAGGTTTTGTGAAAATGTTCTGATTTCATTGAAATTCTCCTGTATTAATCATTTCCTGAAATAGGAGGAGCATTGCCCAAGCTTTGGGATTCGTTTTTTGCATACAAAGATTTTTTTTTAGCGGAGGGCTGAAAATTACTTTAAAAATAATTGATCTGAAGTTACAATCTATTCAGGGCTCTTAACATTTGGAATGTCTTTTATACACATAGCAATATAAAAATGTGTTTCCCATCTTGTCTTTTTTCTGAAACAAAATTAAGCCTTAACCAAATTGGGAAATATTTCACATCATGTGATACTTTGGGGGAGGTCTGTTTGCTTATGTTCTGTCCCCAAAGGAACATAAAAGTGTCATTAGGGGACATCTATTTAATTTCAAGAGTACAGCCTAGGGACAAAGGGTCAGTTACTGGAAGCTTGCAGAAGTTTGCCAGTCAGCTATCCAGTCAAAAAAAATCTATTATGGTTGTTCTTTATCCAAACAAATAATTCACATTAATTGTAAACCTTCTGGTTGATAATTATAACATGCATTTTTCTACTCATTACAACAGGTAAGTCCCTGTCTCAACAATCGCATCCCTCCCTTTTAGCTTTTCAATTCCTATAATCCTATAGTAATTCCTATACTTTCTGGTAGATTCAGACATAGAAGTGGCTTTTTAACAGTAGGGGAATTAAAAAAATGTTTAAACTGCCTTAGTAAGATAATAATAATGCTACTCCTTCCTATAAATTCAAAATACACTCAAGTGGTCTTGGTTTATGTCTAGATGTGGTTACTAAAATGTGGGTAATATACGTGAAAAGTTTCTGGATTCTTGGCTTCATTAATTGAGACATAGTATATTAGTTTTCTATTGCAGTGTAACAGATTATTACAAAGCAGCTTAAAACAACACCCATTTATTATTCCACAGTTCCATGGATCAGAAGTCCGGCATGGCATGACTGGTTGTCTGTCTGGGCTATTATAAGGCTGGCATCAAGGTGTTGGCTGGGCTGAGTACTTGTCTGGAGGATCTGTGGAGAAATCCACAGCCCTGCTCACTCAGGTTATGGGCAGAATTCAGTTCACTGTGGTTGTAGGACTGAAATCCCTGTTTCCCTGCTGGCTGTCAGCTGAGGACCTCTCCCAATTCCTTAAGGCCACTGGTATTTCTTCCCAGGTGGTCCCTTCTCGTTCAGGTCAGCAAAAGTTTGTTGAATTCCCCCCTCAGATCTCTTGAAATCTCTCTGATTTCCTCTTCTTCCACTGAAGAATTCTCTGCCTTAGACTAGGCCCACCCAGAGCATGTTCCTGCTTTAAGGTCAGCTGTGTCATGGGCTAACATAAATCGTGGGAGTGATAGCTCATCATATTCACCAGTTCTGGAGATTTAGGGTAGGATAGTTTGGGAGGCGGGGGGACATTAAAAAATTCTCCGTACTACACACAGGAATCACAAGGACAACAGTCAAAAATTAACTACTGGGCAAAGTCTCGACCTAGTTGTACACAGCACAAAAACCGCACAAACTCAAATGACTTACGGGTTCTAACTAGCCTGGCTTTACTAGCACAGCATGAGAGCGGTATCGAGGTGTCAGCCCTCTTAGATCTGTTTTTAGGGGAAAATAGCAGCGGTGATAATAAATTGTAGAGCTTGACAAGTCTGAAATGGTGTCTTCACTTCACTAGCTCCTGCACGCAGGTGGTCCTATGTGAAGTGTTTGTAGCACACTGGCTTTCACTTTACTGTTTTTTATTTGGCAGCCTTGAAGTACATATGAGGAATGGTAGTGACTCTTCCAGATAATTTTAGCTTATAATTATACCTCCTTAAGAATCATTAAAAAAATTTAAGATCATTTTGAAGGGGTAAAATGAATACCTTCTGCGCAAGTTTTTTTTCTTTAGAAGCGTTTTGTTTACTTTCCTGTTTTCCTAAACAGGGAGTCCTAGGGAAAAAATTCAATTTTTTCGTGATAGTAATGGTAAATACTAACATTTATTAAGCACTTACAGTATCCTGATCACTCAATATTACAATACTTATGATAATGCCATAATGTGGACTATTCTTAGTTTGTCCTCTGTTTCTTTGGCCAAAATTTGAACTTCTTCTTGGTCATTGGTTTTGTTGATGAAGACATCTTTACTATAACATTTCTGATTTATTTCTCAAACCTACAGAGGGCTGTAAAACTAGGTAACAAAGTCTGTAAAACCTGTATGTTATGTATGTTAACATCATCAAGCCTGACGGAGAGCCTACAGTGTCCGTGTAGAAGGGCTTCGTGCTGGCTGTTCTTGTGTTTAAAGAATTTTTCACTTACTTCTAGCTTCCTCTAGATCACCAGAAAAAAAAAAGTAGCCTGAATAAAACAGGAGGATTGTCACTTACTGCTATTATGGACCCAGCAAAGTCAACATATATTCATATATTTAATTAGGGCCTACTATGGGCCCAGAACACAGTATTGTGTTTGCTAATTGTTTTTTTATATATGTCTTTTATTGTTATTTAAATACAAATAATTTAGGAGCAGGAACTATATTTTATAGATCTTTAATTATTTATTGATTTGTTGAAGTTGCAGATAAGGCACTGACCTAGGTAAATGGCAATGCTGAGCATAAAGAAATTACTTTCTACCTCGCCCCATTAGAAGAAAATGCTACTGGTACAATAATAATAATTAAAAAAAAAGAAATAAACTCTATTTCCCTAGTAAGAAATCCATACATTTTTCTCTTTTATATCTGACAAAGTTTTCAGTCCCACTAACCCTATGTAGAACTCCATAAATCGACTTTTCCTATTTCATTCTATCTTTTGATTTGTTCTACAGTGTAAATCTGTCCACACTAGGATCAAGGGAAAGTTTTTGTAACACAGCCTATCATTTCTTCTAGCTTCTATCTACCTTTTATTCATTCACTTTCATTTATTCAAAAATGTTTATTTGGTGTCTATACGTTCTAGGCACTAACGATCACCAGTGAATGTAACAGATGGAATTTCTGCCGTCTCAGTACAGACTTTCCTCTCCATTGTTCCAGATCTTCAAGGTCAACATCAGCTTAAACCTAATTCTCTGCCTAACAATCATATTGCCCTCTTCCAACCTATTTCTCAGCCTGTTTATCTCCACTTAACCTTCTTAATCTTCACACAGCAAGGATGTCAGTCTTGTCTGGTGATAAGGCATCATCCTTTGCCAACTGGGTGGGTGTTATGATCTGAATATTTGTGCCCCCCCAATTCATATGTTAAAATTCTATCCCCTAATGTGATGGTATTAGGAGGTGAGGCCTTTGGGAGGGGTTTAGGTCATGAGGGTGGAGCCCTTATGAATGGGGGTGGTGCCTTATAAAAGAGGCTCCAAAGAGACCCTTAGCCCCTTTCACCAAATGAGGACACAGAGAAAAGACTATGAACCAGAAAGAGAGCTCTTACTAGAACATGACCATGCTGGCACCTTGATCTTCGACGTCCGAGCCTCCTGAACTGCGAGAAACAAATTTCTGTTGTCGACCCAGACTGGGGCGTTTTGTTACAGAACACTGAATGGATTAAGCAGCTGGATATTTTGCAAATCTGAGACACAGGGAACGAAAAGTTGCTACCTCAACTCATCTGTACAGAAAGGTTAGCAAAGTATTGGCAAAATTGCTGCAGCTCTATTCAACATTCGCTGTTCAGATGTATAGAAAAATTGCACAGGCAGAGTGAGCAGCGCCATCTGGAGTTTGCACAACGCTAGGCTGTTACTGAAGCAAAAGGAGATGATCAAGCCCATGACGTATAACCTCCCTAGCACAGGTAGGACACTGGAGTGTTTAAAAATAAAGGAATTCTCTTCCTTCCCTGCAAAAAGCAATTCCTTAACAAAGCGCTTTTCTTTCTAAATGTCTAGAATTATTAACTCATACTCGGGGCAATGTCCTGTACTTATAATGCCAAATAAAGCAGATTTTTGATCACGAGTATTGGCAGAAGAATGGTGGGTGAGGGCACAAAGTAGGACAGTACTTTTTTTTTTCTAAGGTGTCTGACTTTTTAAAAAAATCTGTCTGGTTTTCCTATTAAAAACGTATACAATTTACATTATATTTAATGGGGAAATACTGAATCCATACAAAATAACAGTCACTCTGGAGCCATAAAAATCTGTCATATTCCTAAGAAGAGAATACTACTTCAAAACCAAGCTTAAAAAAAGTTAATTGCAAGATTTAGTAGTTTTATTTGAAATCAATTCTCTTTGGGTCAAAAACTTTCCTTACTGTATATTATTAACCAAAAAAAAAAAAACTTAAAAAGTTGATATTATTATCAGCTATGCATTTATTCTTTTACTTTGAAAAATTTCAAACACACATACAGTTAATGAAAGTAATGTCTACTCGTCAGCAATTATGAAATTTGGATACTTGTGAGCTTTTTTTTTGAAGATTCAGTCTTAGCAGCGGATGGTCATTGGGCTCATTTGTCACCATTAACATACATTAAGTGTTACTATTAAAATACATTCATCAGATTAAAACTCCCTTTTCACTATTAAAATACATTTTTAACTGTAGTGAACACTGGTTTTGAATAACAAATTTCAGTTCGGTGTTAACAGTATTCAAAGTGATGACTTTGGTATAGAGAAACTTCCATTACAAAAAACTTCAAGGAGAACTGCACTTTTTTGTTTTTCTGTGAGGTGAGTGTTGCTTGCAATAAGAGAGCTTTCAATGGACACATGAAAACCTTTAAGTTACATGGAGTTTTTTTGAAGGGGCGTTATAGTAAGTATCTGACATTTCTTTGGTGCATGTGTGATGCGTCAGGCACAGTACTAAGAGCTTTACATGCCCACTCTTCAAACAACCCAGTGGAGTACTCTTACTATCTTCCTTTTACAGATTAGGATGCTAAGTCTGAGAAAGATGAGTGTAATTATGTATCCAGAGTCATCCAACAAGCACTAGGCAGAGTTATATTTATTAAAATTGTATTTGATTTCTATAAATCATTCTTTGAAGGATTAAAAAACGTTTATTCTCACCACTAGCAGTCAGTAAATGGTAGGGTTAACATAACATGTTATACAGTCCTTCTTTAGATTACAGAACTTCTGCAGAAACAGACAAAAAGACAGAATCCTGATGGAAGATGCAGTAACAACCAGAGGAGGTAATAACAAGCCCACAGAGTTCCCCAGGACCAAGCGAAAAGGAGTGAGGCAGCCTCTCAAAAAATAAACAAGCAAAATCCCAGGAATTAGAGGAGATTTTTTAAAGTGCCTTGGGTTTCAAGCCCATATTTTGCAGCTTGTTTTACATAACATATCAAAGAAATACTTCATCTTATTGGCTCTATTTTTTTTAATCAACAATTTATAAGTTTGGTCTATAAACAAGAAAAAATAGTAACTTACTTGTCAACTGAAATAAGCTTCTTTTCTCCATTGTCAGAGGCGTAGTTCCAAGTTGTCTCAATAATTCCAATGTAATAATGCTTATCTTTGGCCCGGGCTGAGGTACTATAAAAAATTAGAAAAATACCAAGCAAGAAAATCTTCATTCTTTTTTCCTCCTGAAGCCTGAGACGCAGTGAAATGAAATCGGAAGCAGGCAATTTTATAAATAAGGCTTTCTTCCTTTATTTGCTTGACTGACAGAATTTTATGTTGCACAAGACTAAATTATTTCGTTAAAGCAAATAACATTTTCCACTTCAGTTCAGTTCTCGTAAACCCAGAAAAAACCCTAGATTTCCATTGCCAGGATTCTCTGATTACAAATAAAAAGTCAACAGTTATTGTTGGAGGCACTGGAGTGTGGATAACTCTGCTTCTACCATTTGTTGTGTAAATTCCAGGAGGGCAGAGATCATGTCTAAATGCTCCCTTTGTTCCTCCAACAATATGCCACAGTACAGTGCCCCGTACTCAGCGAACTTTCAATAAACTGGGACTAAAATGATGCACAATGAATCAAAATATGTAGCTCTTTACTTTCGAAAAGCCAAACAATAGTAAATTACCATTTTAGTTATGAAATGTGATATTTAGCATGCCAAATATAAGTACCCCAAAATAAGAATTTATTTTGAAGGATTTATTTATTTTGTAAGCTCTGAACACATCTGCACAGAAAGTTTATCAGGTTAGTCTGTATTGCTAAATGCAGATAAATAGCAGAGTGTAACCGGGGTTGATGATGCTGTTTCAATCATCGAAGAAATCAGACCTAGATAAACCCATCTTCAAAGGCAAAGTTGATCTTAGTTAAATGGAAGGAGCTCTACTTTACTAACCTGGGATTTCTCTCTTTGATGAGGACATGAATTTGGGGGAAATTCATTTTATTTTTGTTCTTCAGTTGAGGAAAACCCTGATGATATCAGTACACATTTTGTGTTGACGTAAACTTTTTCTCTAGAATACCTCAGTGCATTATGTGAGTGTTTGCCGAAAGGTGTTGTATAGAAATAGATTGGTATAGGAGAAAGCACCCTGATGTTGAAACAATTTATTCATTTAGTAAGTATTACTGGGTGAACCCCTGTGTGCCAGACACTATTCTAAGCATTGTGGGGATACAGCAGTGATGAAACAGACACAAATCTCTACCCTCATCAGTTTACCTTCTACTGGAGAGAGACCAACAACATACAAATGAAGAGCAAAATACCTGGTATTATCTGCAAGTGCTATGGAGAAAAATAGAACAGAGAAGGAGACTCATGAGTGCCAGGGCCAACAGTAGGATGAAGATCAAAATCTGATGGCACCACATGACCCCAGGCAAGATACAAAGTTGACCCCAGTCTCAGTTTTCTCATCTGTAAAATATTTCCGTCTCAGAGGGCTGCTGTCCAAATTAACTGAAATGACCCATGTTAGGTCACACAGATGCTTATTTCACCAGCTAGCAATAATCTTGACTAATTGTTCTGATATAGAAAATTGAGTCACAAAACCCAGCTATCCCAAGACCTCTTTCTAGAGCCACCTTCAACGATTGTGCCCTCGACCTGAGTGGGGCTAAAATCTTGCCCAAACTCCATTGGCCAAGCCCCGTGCCTTGCAAGATGCTGTTCCTTTAAAAAAGCTGGTGCCCAGAAGGACTCCATTGTTTCCAAATGGTCCACACAGGGGGAGCATCTTCTAGTAGTTCATTCTCCCATAGGGTGCACTTTTTTTCTAATTGGCATGAAGTCTCTGTATGAGCCAGTGCATGGCTGTTGGTGTAAATAATGCCAATCTTGGGACTGCACAGTTTCTCCTGTCCTTCTACTGACACTTCCCAGGACTGTGCTGTGTGGGAAATCACTTCTTTGTTATCAAGGGCTTTGTAGTTAACAGATATTATTTAATGATCCCTAGGTCTTCAGGTGGCCTCTATGCTGTTAGCCTCTGAATAATGATGAAGACCTTCACTGATCTATTCCTAGTGCCCATGAGTCCAGTTACCTATTTGTAAGTCTTGATTTAGGAATGCACTTCCTGTTTCCAAGGACGTATCCCTATACCCTAGATTCATATAAAATTGTCCCCCTGTCCCCTGGGTGGTGCGGATAACTGTGAGTGCTTCTGGATCTTTCTATCACGTCTGCTGCTCCTACTGCTACTGGGAAACAGAAAATAAGAATCACCTCAGTTCTTTGTCACCTGAAAAAAAGATTTTTGATGAGAGACAAAAAGCATGATATAAGCAAGATTTTTATTAGTGAAGTAAAAGAAATAGTGAAAGATAGTACCCTCCCGAGAACTGGGGGCGGGCCAACCCAAGACAGGAAAAATGGCGCCGCTCCCTCCTTCCTCCTGTTTTTGTATCCTGGTTTCATAATTGATTAATTACTTGATTGATTAACTGCTTCCCCGCACTCTGGTTAATTGACAGCTCAGGTTCCCTGTGCTCTGGTTGATTGACAGCGCAGGTTCCTTGTGTTCTGGATTGTTCCTTTCCCCTTCCTCTCCCCTTGCCCAATGCTCATTTCTATCTAAACTACCTAACACTACCCTGTAAGTTACCCTGTTATAAACTGATCCATTGATTATAAGCAGCTGCCTGTTTCATTTTTTGATGTCAAGGTATCTTCTCAGTTTGTGGGCACTTTTCATCTCCTCCATCCTCCAACAGTTAGTGAGCCAGCCAGGAGCCTGAAGGCAACACAGGAATGGGTGAAACGGTCATGCTGGGGGAAATCCCAGGCTGGCCAGCCCGTTCCAGGTGGGGTGACCTGGCTAGGTTCGTGGAATGCTTGGGGCCACTGTGTGAATACAGAACACCCCCAAAACACCAAAGGACTTCCTAGATATATTAACTGAAGTGATGGATAAAGCAAAAGTGGAAAAAAGGAAGAGAATAAGCTATCTCGGTCATTGTACAGCCTTTGTTATGTGCTCTAAGGATTAGCAAGAAAAGCAATCACAGCTCAGCAGGAAACTAGAGAAGACTAAAGAGACTCTGGCTTTAGAGAGGGATGCCTGGAGGGTGTGATCTGCCACTTCTGACCTTTTGTTAAGGAAAATACAGCAGGAGGGGTACATTGAGGTGAAGACAAGTAAGATGGCCAAAAGGCAGGGCGGTAGGCTGCGCCTTTCCGAGGTGAGGACTAGTATTTCATAGCAGAACTGCGACCCCCAGAGGTGGGATCCTTGGGATAATGACTCAGCGGAAGATGAGGACATAATTATAGAGGAGGGAAAGAACCTGTGAGCACGGGCTCTGACCCAAACTAAAACACAAGCCACAGGGGAACCAGGAGATAACTGAGAGGAGATCCCTACAAGCCCCCAAACAGCAGGGTGAGGCTCTTCCTCCCCTGAGTTAATAGAATTAACCGGCAGGTTTAACCAAAAGAAGAGGGAAGGAGTGGCAGCCTGCGTGCTCCGTGTATGGGACGCTAGGGCATTGCGTTAAATGGGTCAGAAATGTCTTAAATGGCCTGGTTACAGGGCAGCCTGGCCTCTGGCAACGTTTGCGTGCAGCTGGGATGGGAGAAAACTGAGGACACCTAGCCAACTTGATTGAATGGGTACTTGCAGGTATACACCTGGCTTGGTCAAATGAGGGAGAGGTGCCCCTCCCACCCTTAAGCTGGCATCTATGGAAGCGCTATGAGAAATGGAGAGGGAATTAGGAAGGAAGCATGTGGTCTCTTCTCCTAATTTCCAAGGAATGAGGATGAGGAGTTATTCACAGCAGGCATGAAAGATGGTATCCTACAGTCCCGCTCCAGGAGCCTGGTACCTGACCTTACTTTCAGTTTTAGCTCCGATGGTTAATCAACCCACTCAAATGATGGTGGCTGTAATAGCTGGTTTAAGTGAAACTGAAAAGATCTGACACAAGGGAAATAGAAGTGTGGATAAAACCAAAAAGGGAAAAATGTGAGGAAATTAAAGAAAGGAGACCAACTAGAATTTTCTGCAAGCAATTTTAGCCAGACCTTGTATTAGCCGGGACCCCTAAGGAGACTAGATAAACAACCTTATTTGGTCCTTTCAAACTTATGGAAAGCATTACCCAAAGGAAAAGTTTACTCCCCTGATAGCAAGAGAAAAAGAGGACCAGGCACAAGCCGGTGCTCCATTGCTGGGGGAAGATGAGGAACAAGGGTGGATCCCTAACTTCTAGGAATTAGGGGTGGGGTCAAGTTTACTCCTTGGTACCGGCCATAGGGGGCCACTGGAGGCCCCATTTTAAACTGACTGTTCATTGGTCCTGCACCAATAAACAGAATGTTCTGACTTCAGTAGATAGTGATGCTCAGTGCACCCTGATTTACGGGAATGTTTCCTGGTTCTAAGGGGAAATATGAGCCATTGATGGATATGGAGGCCAAACCGTATGGGTGAAACAAGTGAGCTTGTATTTACAGATTGGAAGATTGCCTCCCTGTCCCTTTCTGGTTTCTATTTTGCCCACAATAGAGTACATTTTAAGTATGAATGTCCTACAGGACCTGGACCTCTCAACCACCACAGGTGAGTTCTGCTTAGAATCCAAGCAGTCAAGCCTGTAATGGTGGGTCATGCTAAATGGGACCTTGTAAATTTGCCCATCCCTCGGAGACTGGCGGCAATAAAACAGTATCACCTAGTGGGGGACAGACAAGGATAGCAGCTACCATCAAGGGAGTAGAGGAGATAAGGCCTATACTATCAGCACAGCGCTCATTCAGCAGCCCGGTGTGGCTGGTGAAGACACCCCAGTAAGCAGCACCTGGTGTGTGACGGTCGACTACAGAGAATCAGACACGGTAACACTGTCTATTTATGCAGCAGTTTCAAACACAGCCCTGCTCTTGGATACGATCCTCTCTTCTCTCAAGACATATCACTGTGTCTTAGATTTGTCTAATGCCTTTTCTAGCAGACCTTTGGATAACAGGTACCAGGACCAGCTTGCCATGTCACGTGGGAAGGAAGGCGATGGAATTTTACTGTCTTGCCCCACCGCTGTCTGCAGAGCCCTACTATAGGTCATGGGATGGTGGCCCAGGACTTAGAGAAATGGGCTTCCCCTCCTTCTTCAGCTATCACTGCATTGATGATATCATGCTAATCTATGGCGACTTGCTCTCCCTTTCCCAAGCCCTGGCATCTCTTCAGGAAGATTTAAAAGCTCAGGGATGGGAGATAAATGCTGACAAGGTGCAAGGACCAGGCCAGTCAGTGCAGTTCCTGGGAGTCATGTGGTCTGGTAAGACTGAAGTGATGCCCGAGGCTGTTACTGATGATATTCAGGTGTATCCTGTGCCCTGAAATGTAAAAGAA